ATATGCCTCATCGCGTAAGGATCGCTACGGTCCAGGGAGTATAGTAGCTTCGCCCATTCTAGGGCAGTCTTATAAGTTCCCTTCCTAATCAGGCTTTTAATATAGTGGTATCCGGCGAGCCAGAACTGGCGGTTCTCCGGTCTCCTAAAGTCCAAGCGAGCCATTCCATGCTCGAGATTTTGCTTAAACGACGAGAGCGCTACTCGGCCAAAGCTGAACAAGGCGCGCTCACACAATTCTGCAGACAGAGCCATGTTCTGGTCTTGCTTTGCAACGCTGCTCACCTGGAGTAGAGTAGAGACATGATAGGCTGCCCAGCTTATGTCAGTAAAATGTTCAACATTGATAGAGTTCAGGCGCTACTCACGAAATCTCTTGAGCAAGTACACCATCCTCATGGGGTCTCCCATCTGCACCTGTACAAAGAACATGGTCTGGACGTCATCGTAGTCCTTATTATGCACGTAAGTGTATTCGACTCCAGTCCCATCGGCAGTCTTGCCGAGCTCCTTCATAGACAGGCCCCCAGTCGGCCTCAGCGGCCAGTGATCTCTCCCATGAATAAAGACGTTGCGCTTCCGAGAGCTCTCAGGCAGCTTACGGCCATCCGTCGGCCACTTGAGGAAAGTCTCAATGTCCATCTGCTGCGGCATATTCCTTCGGCGTGTCCCGCGGCGCTGCTCCTCCTCATCCACCGCTGCCGACTCAATGATGTCCCGGCCGAATAGGTTTCGCATCTCATTGGCGACTTTGAGGTTATAAGGGTTGATCTTCAGAATTCCGTTGAGCGCTGAACCATTGTCCTGAGATGACCCATCTTGAACCCGCGGCTCGATTTTCAACTCTCTGATTGCCCGGTCAATCTCATCATCTTCGCTGTGCTCAGCATCCTGGGCCTGGGCCGCCGCCGCCTTCTTCTTGCTCTTCTTCTTCTTCTTTTTGCTCTTCCGGGCAGCAGCTGGAGCAGCTGGCTCATCCACAGGCGACACCGGAGCTTCTGCTTCTTGCTCTACCTCTTCGCTCTCATCACCACCGTCACCATCGTCACCTCCGAGTGCAGCAAACAGATTCGGCCGAGGTTTTGCCACTACAGGAACAATTTCGTCATCGCTAGCATTGCCATCACTGCCTTCAGACTCTTGCACAGCCTTTGCCTCTAGCTCTCTCTGCTTCTGCAGCTTGCGAAGCTGTCTTGTCGACATTTTGGATCTCTGCGTAGAGCGACCTGGTTATTATGGTGACTGCCCCTCCTCGATAAAATGAGCGATTGAGCCGGAGCTGGAAGCAAAGATTTTATTATTCGAGCCCAACGCTCAAAGAAAACAAAGCAATTGAAATGGAGGCAGTAATCGCGCAATACAGGAACGGGTCCAAGCTATTATAGCCAACTATACAAGACAATTCGGGCTGAAAGTCTTGAGCCTCATGCAATAACCAAGGCCAGGTTTCAAGCTCCAGGTTATTTGGCTACGCAGCTAGTACTACTAGTATTAAGAACTGGCAGGGCTCCAAGGGCTCTTAATGTGCGTCACGCCGCCTTGAGCTGTTAGTGGGGCTGAGCGGCAAAACCCACTTCAGCCATGACTGTTGCCCGAAAGCTAGAAACTTCGAATGCTGAGCCTATTCACGAATCTACGTGGTCCGATTCTGTTGGAATTGCAACCGTCTTTTATCTTGTTGTGGTGGGCAATAAGGTTTAGGGCTTCCCCTTTACCGTTTCACTTTATTCGGCAACGAGCTGTAAATGCTCTTGCTCAGTGCGAGATAATAACTTATTAAGCTTTAATTGCCTGACTGCTTTGATCAGACCCGTGCTTCGCGTAGACAGTAATACAGAATCATATATCCGCATGCGTTTCCCCAGCTTCATTGACCAGTATAGAAAATTCAACTCAGTTTTATTTGTGTCCCACTCCGGGTGACGTTATTTGTTCTTCGTTCATCATGTATCCTCATGATTCATGGATACCCGCCTGTGCTCCTTTGAAACGCAATCCGAACTCCGGCATCATCATCGGGTTCCGCGACCGTTGAAAACCGTGGCTCACATCCTGAGCTAAAAGCAAATCGAATATGACTAAAAGTCTTCGTGGCTGCTACGGAGCAGCTTCAAAAGACAAACATCGCAAGATTTTGGTACATTAGTAAAAGAAAATTACGGATAAGAAATTGCAGAGGCTCGGATCGTGATAAGAGCCTATAAAGAGGTATTTTGTGTCACCACGCGGGTGCTTGTCTCTGGAGTTTGAGAAAAAGAGATTTCGGGTTGTTGCTGCGTTTCACCGAGATTGAAAAGTCGCGTGGTTCTGAATGACCCTTACTGGCCAGCGGCAGTGGACTGGTATTGTGGGCGAGGCCCTCCTCGGCCGCCACGGTTAAATCCGCCGCGGCTGCCTCGGTTTCCGCGACCACCACGTCCACGACCACGATAGTTTCGGTAGCCCCCGTCAACACTTCCCTGGCCAAAGGTCTCGATGTTCCTGCGCTGCTCTTCACCTCGCCATTCGCGTCCTCCGGGTTTTTGGCCGTTGTTCTCAGCTCTCTCTCTGGCTTCGCTGGAGATGTTGTCAAAGAACGACCTTGACTTGTTGTATGCGACTGGGATAGCGCCTTCCAAGGGTTCAGAGCCCTCTGTCACAGGAACAGCAGGTGCCTCGCTCGCCGGAGAACCTGCAATGGCTTCCTTCACGACATCTTCCTTGTTGAACTTTGCATTTGACTGGGCAAAGTCGAAATCTGCGTCAGGAACTTCAACCTTGGCAGGGCGACCGCCTCGACCGCGGCCGCGGTTGACATTTCCACCCCTTACTGCGTTGATGCGCATCTCGTTGACTTTATTTGTCAAGTTGTCCATAGCATTACCGGCAGGGTTGCTCAGCTGCGCCATTGCCAGTGCCACGGCTGCTCTAGCTGCGCTGGTAGCATCCTGCACGCTATTTGGTCCGGTAGCGGCAGCAGGCTGAGCGGCTTGAGCTGCCTTCTCTGCGGCAAAGGGAGGCTGGAAAGGTTTGTGTGCAAATCCAGTGAGAGGCAGAGCTGGCTGGACACGATTGCCCTTGGGTCCAGTGGGGATGGCCTTGGGAGCTTCGTTTGCCTTGACAGCTCCATTTGACGCCACATTCGTAGCCACAGCCTTGACCTCTTCAGCCGATGGCTTGGACTCTACTGGAGGAGCTGGTGCGTTGGTGGGCTGTCGTACAGGGTGGGCTTTAGGCTCTGTTGGGGGCGCACCCTTGGATTTGTCTGCACCGGGTCCAATAGGAGGCGGTTTCGACGGATCTTGAGCTGATGGAGGGTTCTCAGGTGCTCGCTGGCCTTGACCAGCTTCAGCGGTTGGGGGACCACCAGGACCTGGGGGGAAATTACCCCAAGGACCTGGGCCGCCTGGTCCAGGAGGGAAACCTTGGCCCGGAGGGAAGCCTTGGCCCGGAGGAAGCCAGCCCGGAGGTGGAGGGTATGGCATGTTACCAAAGGCTGGTGCACCCATAGGACCGGGTCCGCCTCTTCCCCAAGAGCCAGGAGGCGGAGGACCGCCATAAAAGTTGTTGGGAGGATAAGGATGCTGAAAGCCTGGGGCTCCAGGAGGGCCGCCAGAAGGAGCTCCAGGAGGGGCGTTCTGGTTAGGTCCTTGTGCTCCAGGACGGGCTCGAGCCTTTTATTAAAGAGTTAGAACAGTATTTCAAGTTGAGAATCTGGCAATAAAAGAAGATAAAAATTCCCTTGATAGATCAGAAGGAAGGCAACGGAAATCTCGACATGGTTTTGCGCTTTCCGACGTGACAAAAAGTTTACATCCGCAATAATTCATCATGAAAGGGTAGAATGATCTTGAAAACATATCAAAGGGGCATCACTTACGCCGACAATGGCCGGGTCATCGGGCATGGGAGGAGGGGGCTTATTCTCCTTGATTGAGGGGTGCTCCTCGATACGCAAATCCTTCACATCGCTGCCGCGGAAGACAATGTATTCGTAGACTTGGTCTGAAGGCGCAATCTCCTCCTGAGGGGCGCCTCTGCGGCCCTCTGTGCCGAATGAGCGAACATTCTCGAGAGACACTGTTGACTCGTCCGAATTGATCTCGTGCAAAGTGCCCACGTAGCTTCACTAGAGGTCAGTGACCGTCTTTGTGAACGAGATGCATATATTCTCACCGAATATCGCTCTTGGAAATGAGTGAAATGCGGGATCTAGAGTGTCTTTGGTTAGCCCAAGGGGAACAATCAAACGAGAGGACCATTTGCATACCCTAAGAATTCAGACATGGTGGGCCGTGAGGCCACGTCGACCACGTAGCAAGCTGCGCAGGGGCTATCAAAAGAAAACAGATACAAGAGTGCGCCAATGCGCCAAAGACAGACAAGAAATATTAAGGAATAGTGGTAATAAAGAGGGAATTGTCGCGTGAGGGAGGGGGTGGAGGTTGCGGAGAGGGAGTATTGGAGTTTGTGGGAGGAGGAAAGTTTTGTGAGGCTAATAAAAACGATTGGGTGAAAGAACTGAGAGCTCGGGAGGAACCCTGTCGTAAGCGGCCGCATCAACGCCGGCTATATGTCGTATTAACCTCGGCAATGTACAGCATACCCCACACTTGTGTCCCAGCCACCAGCTGGAGCAAGGCTGGAGTCGGCTGACTGGAATTCCGGTCTATTGAAAGAGGACTTTACGATTATACTGATGAGAAGAATTCGCCCGTTCGGGAGATTTTTTGATACTGAAATCGCTCTATTTAACCTGTATAGTGTAGAAAAAGGCAAACACAATAGACATAAATCATATAGTGCCGACAGGGCATGCTGAGGAAAAGAGGGTTTCAACGCTATATCAACCTCTCCTCTAGCTACCACTATTACTGTAATTTTTGCCCTGCTGCTACCCGTGCTCGTATGATCTGTATGTGCAAGTCTGTGTTGTGCAGAAAGGGAAGGAAAGAAAGCCAAGCAATAAGTCCAGTTGATTAAACTCCGGGTCGCCCGTATAACTCCAAGTATAGCCTTGCTTCATCGGAACTTGCTGAAAATGACAGCAACGATCAAAAGCACCAAGATGGTAATGATGGAAATTGTAATCACCCGGTTCGTCGCCATGCTATTTACCATCAATATCTTGTGCTTTGCCATTGCCAGTGGGACGTTACGTTACCTCCGAGCCATCCCCCTCAAGGTCTTGACGCTGCGGTCGACATAGTTTTCGCTGTCCAAGAGGGTATCATGTGTATGGCGAATAACTTCACCTTGGCGGTGCAAGTCGGCCAAGGTTTCTGCTCCAATAGCCTCTGTCTCGTTGGCGAGTCTTTGGCTTGACATAAGCCGCTGTGTGCTTCGGTCGAGTCTTTCGGTTCCTGACAGCAGCTGTTGTCGTTGTTCCAAGTTGATGTCTCCTGATGGCTCATCGGTGTACCGCGAGCCGAAAAGAGCAGCGCGGTTGGAGGAGAGACTTGTAAGCTTTCGGCGGCTCCCATCGATGTCGGATTCGTAGTTACGGAAGCGCTGGTTAACTTTGGCTCGTGCAGATGTCGGGATGTTCTGTTTTTCAAGTCGCATTTGGCCCAGCTGTATTCACATTAAGAAAAACATTAGCTCTGTTGATGTGTTGATACAACGGCAGAAATACCAGTTCATCTGCCTCCTCCAAGGCGCGCTCGGCTTGGCTGACTGCAGCCTTGCGCGGTTCGCCGGTTAGATCAGGTATCTGATCTAGCTTTTGTGCCAGGTCTGCCTGTACAAGCTTGAGTTCGGCCTCGTAGGAGCTGAAGAGCTCCGAGCCAGCATCTGTGTCGAGAGGGTTCGCCATCTTGCTTATCGAGGCAAGGAGAGCAGCGGAGATTAATCGAGAAGAGACGAACGGCTATCAAACGGAAAACCCGCTAGAGATTCGCAGAAAAGGAGAGTCGGGGCGATGGCGTCGAAGTTTGCGATGCGTGCTGCGCTTTGCTTGGCTCTTTTGATGTTGTTGAGAAATGGCCGTCTCAGATGACCGTCGAAATCGCCGTCATCGTACGTACGCACCCGATTTCGAGACCAGTCGGGCTGGGCAATAAGAGGGGGTACTGTCTTGTTGCGGGCAGCCATGTACTCTCCCTGCATGGTGCCTGCAGCCGAGTACCTTGTCTTAGCGCATGTCAAAGTACCCCAAAGCAGTGGGGCCCATTTCAGCGTAAAGAGACGGCTAAAGCACGGCAGAGTGACTTAGTAAGCATATGGTCCGTGCACACCAGGCGATATTATCTCTGCACAGCTGCATGCAGAATTTGCTTTTTTCTTCTTTTCTTCCATAAGTTGATTCTCCCGGCCGAAGAATATAAAGGCTAAGCGTCTAGACTTGTCGATGGCGCAAAGTTGAGAGGCCGGGTAAATAAGATGCAGGATTTCCTACACGGCGCTTTCAAGAATTGGAGATTCGAACCCACGTTTCCCGATCCCGTTGAGTGCTCGACATGCCAGCCACCGGCTGCTGTTAGAATTGCAAAGGCGCATGGCGGTCTCAGTAGAATGTGGACTGACCGCCTAGGGCGAGGGCGAAGCGACAACCAGATGTCGGCCTCTGATTTTACCAGCTGGAAGCATGTGATTATGGAGGCAAACAGAAAATTCTGCTCCACTGATAGATCTCCACGTCGAGGCACGTAATTACATGTACATCAGACCACAGTTCTGCTGTATGTATGTAGAGTCTTATGCGAGTGCGTTATCGCATCCTGGTCGCTGCGCCAAGTCGTGCATGGTATCGCCTCGTTGGCAGGCCAGGCTAGCTCGTTGATTCCGGCTGCTGCTATCTGCCACCCACCACTCCTCAGCCCCTGATTATTTGCGCCGAAATCGTTGGCTTAGACGCCCGGACAGCGCTGTTAGGCGCCTCCATCGAGATATGAGGTAGCATGAGCAGCGAGTGTCGCAAATCGCAGATTCAAGGTTAAATGAAAGCGTCCAGCTCCAGCCACCCGTGGCGCTAGCTCAGCCGCTTGCGTCCTCGATCGTCCAGGACCCCGGCAGCCCATTAGGAGTACATAAAGCGCTGAGGAGCCTCTCCTGTAAAATCCCCGACCCGGTGGCCAGATTGTCTGTTCCTGTGGTGATCCGATCCCTTGCGTTGGCGTGTATCAGCAGCACAGACGCGGAAACGAGTTCCTGTACCTGTACCTCCTACATAGACTGCTGCACGTAACGATGCCCCTGCGAGCAGAACCGCGGCATGTGTGAGTTGTTTGATTCTCCTGCATGCTATCTACTCCGTGTCATCGAATCAGCGCCGCTACACTTATGCAGAGTTCCATCGGTGGCGCCGGCAGCTCTCCCCCCCTTGTCCTGGTTCGTTCTCAGGTCGAGCCTCTGACATGTGCAAATGGTCTTGGGTGGCTTTTTTTTGGGCAGCTGAAGCCTCTCCCAGCCTTAAGATCCGTTCCTCGCCTTGACGCTCATCAGCCATCGCCACTTACACACAAACCGCCGTTCCCATGAGCCACTCCGTTAACAGATATTCCAGGAAGAAGGTGGCCATTGTCGGCAGTGGCAGTGCGGGCATTGCGGCGCTCTGGGCCCTGAACCGAACTTATCACGATGTCTACCTCTACGAGGCCGCAGACCGCTTGGGCGGCCACACCAACACTGTGCAGTGGAAGGCCGGCAAGTACACGACGGACGTTGACACTGGCTTCATCGTCCTGAACACCGCGACATACCGTGAGTCAATTGAGACGACCGATTGTATTATATTTTACTCAAACACTCATCCTATATCTAGCCAATTTCCTCAATTTCCTCAGCCGGGTGGGAAAGCCTGCCGTCGGAGTGGCAACCGAGCCCACTGAGATGACCTTTAGCGTATCGCGAGATCGCGGTCTCTTTGAATGGGCGAGCACGAGCTTGGGCACCATCTTCTGCCAAAAGAGAAACCTCTTCTCTCCCCGGATGTGGAGGACGCTGTTTGACATCGTTCGCTTTAGCCAATTTGCACTGGACTTGCTCATCGACGAAGAGGAATATGAGCCGCGATACGGGGGAGAGCACATGATGAACCATGTCCACAAGACCTTGACCATTGGAGAATACCTGGAGCGGGAAGGCTATTCGGATGGCTTCCGAGACGACTATTTGATACCCATGACGGCTGCCATCTGGAGTGCCAGTCCGGATAAATGCGCATTAGAGTTTCCTGCGACGACGCTTGTCCGCTTCCTGTTAGTCAAACGCCCTTTTTGGCTATCCAGTCTGATACTGACAATTGATGTAGATGGAATCACCATTTGCTATCAACAATAGCCTTACGTCCAAAGTGGCTTACACTGAAAAACGGCGCTCGATCATACATTGATGCTGTCATGAAAGGCTTTCCGTCTAATCACCTGTTCCTCAAAACGGCAGTCAAGAATGTCTCAAATGACTCGCACGGCCGTGTTCTTTTACATCTTGAAAATGGCAAGACTGAAGTATATGACCATGTCATCTTGGCGACTCATGGTGACCAAGCGCTGTCCATTCTCGGCACATCTGCTACAGAGCAGGAGCGCTCAATCTTGTCTTGCTTCCAGACATCGCAAAACGAAGCAGTGCTGCATTCAGATGTATCGCTGATGCCACGCAATAAAAAGGCATGGTCAAGCTGGAACTTCCTTACAACATCTTCTTCTTCGACGAAAAAGGCCATGATGGATAAGGTCTGCTTGACATACAACATGAACATCCTGCAGCATATTCCAAGGAACCCATTTGGGGATGTGCTGGTCACTTTGAATCCTATCCAGCGTCCTGATCCAAGCAAAGTCCAGGGGACATTCCGGTATAGCCATCCATTATACACTCCGTCAGCTGTGCGTGCACAAAAGATGCTGCGCTATATACAGGACAGGAGAGGAATCAGCTATATCGGTGCGTGGACCGGATATGGATTCCACGAAGATGGCTTCACTAGCGGCTTGCAGGTAGCTCAGGATCACCTGGGTGCTAAGCTCCCCTTTGAGATGCGAGACTCTACCTATAGCCGTGGAAGGGTTCCAAGGCTAGGGTTGCTGGATCAATTACTGCGACTTATCATTCTGGCCATTCAAGTATTCGTTATTCAGGTACTTGAGAGGCTGGCACAATCTGGAAGACAGAAAGTGGTAAAGCCTCTTGCCAATGGCATCCAAAAGAGATTTGGACGTCAAAAAATGGCATAAAGTCTTGACGGATATTGAAAAAGCGTTGTTTTCTTTCTTTTAAAACCCATTTTTAGAGATATTCCCATTGCGCATGGATTAGCCTGGGCTTACATGATATAACGACACGACCAGCAAAGCTGCGATGCAAGATTGACAGTCGAAATTTAAAATTTAGCAATAGATAGTAATTAGTATGAATACCAAAGCTTGAATTTAGCCACCCATAGACAGATAAAACCCATGGGCCAGTTCATGAAAGCCTGACATGTGATGCCCCATTCGGCGATATCAGCTTGCTTCACCAGCTCTTTTGTTAGCCTACAATGCCAATACAGCACACTCTATTCCAATCTCCCTGTTGCCATCATCTGACTCGACCACATCAGACCTCAAGACGATGAAGCACGTGTTAATTGCATTCCTGGCAGAGTTGAACTCCTGGAGCCAATCCAGCCCGTGCCGAACCGCTGCCCCACCATGAGATGTCACGCCACTGAGCGCTATCAGATTAGAGATGCTAGCGCCAAATTCAAGCTTACATGTAGCATTGAAGAATTGCTACCTCTTCAACCGTCTTGCAAATATCGCAACGCAGCAAAAATGAATAGCGCATTGCGCCTTGTGCGCACCGGTCCTCCACGGATAGCAAGCTCATCGTCACAATGGGCTTGCTTTTTCTGCCAGAATGCCCGGCCTCAGAGCCGCCGGCCCAATCTCGCAGAGTTTCGCCGCAATCTCTCCATCTCAAGACCTCGTCGAGAACCCCAGACGCCGTCTCGGCAGCAGGCGACTGGCGCTTATATGGACAACATTCGGGCGCAATACAATCAGAAGAATATGACCTCAACGTATGGGAGACTTCTCTGTCTGAGCGGGCAATTCGTGTGGAGAAAAACTAGGCTCATATGTTCTGCAGCTACTGGACCCTCAGCGCGATAATTGGCTTTCTTGGCCTGGCATACGGCGCCGTGCCCCTCTACAAAATGGTTTGTTAAAGGTTTTAATTCTTCAATCGAGTTGGATTAATGAGCTAATTCGGCTGTAGATATGCCAAACCACTGGCTGGGGAGGCACACCGATCCGCGCCTATGGCCTGGGCGGCGACGAAGGCGAAGACCTCTCCACTCGCCTTGTCCCCGTCACTTCTGCGAAGCGAATCAAAGTCACCTTCAACGCTGCCGTGTCTGACGTCCTCCCGTGGAAGTTTGTCCCCCAGCAGCGAGAAGTCCGAGTTCTGCCCGGTGAGACGGCCCTGGCATTCTACAAGGCGACGAACCTCGGCGACAAAGACATCATTGGCGTGGCAACATACAGCGTGACGCCCGCCCAATGCGCAGGCTACTTTAGCAAGATCCAGTGCTTCTGCTTTGAGGAGCAGAGATTAAACGCTGGCGAGACGGTGGACATGCCTGTGTTCTTCTACTTGGATCCCGACTTGTTGAACGATGTCAACATGAAAGGCGTTGAAACCGTAACCCTGAACTATACATTCTTTAGTAAGTTTGCACGGCGCCTTGACCGACCTCTCCCCATTTTCCGTTACTGACTCCAAGTAGAAGCGAGATATGACAACAATGGCAGATTCACCCCTCCTGCCTCCAACTAGATGGCCTTGAAGGTCGATATGCCTTGTATAACACATACTTTCTATGCGGCGTTGCGGCCTCTCTATGATGATATGCGATACATAGACGACCGAGGAGTTTAGAAGAAGAAAAAACTGTATATTATTACTAAGGAGAAGCAAAAACATACATAGCTAGCGTACAAAATGTAAAAATACCGTATTCCGCTCACAAAAGCCAATGAGAGACCCCTTACAGACTCTATCTAAATAGCTTATCTCGCATCTCTAATTGCAGGCGATCTGCCATTAGCACGCTCAGAATGACTAAGCACGATAGCTACTACTAGTAGTAGGAGAGACCATCGCCTTCAAAGGCTAAGCGTCACATAGGGCAGACCAAATCACGTGCATATCCACAGCCCGCCAAAATCGTCGCCCACCAAATTGACAACCAATTTGCCAACCGCCGATTTTGTGCTGGATTTTTTTTTTTTTCTTCTTTTCTCTCCTCATCACCCAACGCCAGACACCAGGATTTCCTCGTCGCCAAGAATCCCCAACCGCCAAAATGGTCAAGCTGAACAAGAGTGAGTTTAGCTTTCAGATCCAAACCGAATTGATTGAATATTTAGAACTAACAAAAATCCAACAGACCTCCACTCCTCCCGAAGCAAGAGCCGCCGTGCTCACTTCAAGGCTGGCTCTGGCGAGCGCCGTACCATCATGAGCGCCCCTCTCAGCAAGGAGCTTCGTGAGAAGTACAACGTATGTTGGATCTATCGCAAGAGAATTTTTCGGGGCAACAAAAGCTAACAATTCTGCTCCAATAGGTCCGCAGCATCCCCATCCGCAAGGACGACGAGGTCACCATTGTCCGTGGCTCTAACAAAGGCCGCGAGGGCAAGGTCACCTCCGTCTACCGTCTCAAGTACGTGATCCACGTCGAGCGTGTCACCCGCGACAAGGCCAGCGGCCAGAGCGTCCCTCTGGGCATCCACCCCTCCAACGTCGTCGTCACCAAGCTCAAGCTTGACAAGGACCGTGAGAGCATCCTGGCCCGCTCCAAGGTTGGCCGTGAGCTCCGCGCTCCCGGCAAGGTCTCTGCTTAAATGCAGAAACACTTGGACAACCAAAAAATCAAAACGGGAACGGGACGATGGAGGTGAATAATTTTTTTTCTTCAGCTTACACAATTCTTCCATGTGATGCATCCATGGCACAATAACGGGAACAAGGGAATGGGCATTTGATCCGGCGTTTTTTAGCGATACCCGAGACCTCCCCTGCAGGTCCGGCGTTCTCAGCAGGGTAGATGAATCGAGAATTTTACGATTCTCAATGGCCGTTTCACCAACTTGTTGTGTGAAATGCTCCATGGGAGGTGTTTCCCGAAGCTTTGGCTGTGTCCCCGTTTCATTTTTTTCTTGGCTACTGTCTCGATGAGACTTTGTGAACTCGACTTGTGTCGAGGGGCTGTCACAACCCAGCCTTCGTAGACTGCCATCAGTCTTGGCTTTTGAAACTCTTGAAGAGTGAAGCAAGACAAGGCACATATACACAGGTAGGTCGGTTGTTCGCTTCGTAGTATGCTGTGAATCCCGCTAGATAATCTCCGCGTCGACCACAATGACTGATGGTTTTCGAGGTATACGACTGGCGAAGAACAAACCCCGACTGAGACTCATACCACGAGTCTCTATCGCTTGCTGAAGATTTCTGCTTGCCTTCTCTGCAATGGAGTTAGAAATTTGATAGTGAGGAACAAACCGTAGACGATAAGTTGTTTAGAGCCGTGGCTGGACGATGCTACGTAAAATCAGATTGTCGATGAAGACACAGTGCGAGTAAGCTCACTCACGCTACACGCCTGCCAGTACACAAGCATCTTCATTGTCAGGTATAGGTGCTGCTCCTCCTGGTCTGCTCCCTTGATCATGCTGGACTTGGAGCCAAAAGACGAAAGATATTTAGCAAAGCAAAAGCAATATTATTGATTATAAGCAAAATGAGATTCCCCCAAAGGCCAAATTTGCTGCTTGTTAGCAGTTGGTCGACCACTGAAGAACCCCATTTCTACCTGTAGCAAACTATACTCTGTACAAAACCTCCAACAGCTAAACATAGCCTCGTGATTATTCACATGCCAACGTATTACATCTATCATACAATGGAACTCTAACAATAAGCGACACGCCCTGAGTCTGTTAAAAAGCAATAATTACACCGCTCCTTTTGGCCACGAATAAATGCTGAGATTGACATTGTATTATTCTCAGGTGATTCGTCGTTGACAAAGAAGGCGGCAACAAAGTCGAAAGGAAATAATGCCGAAATCTCGTAATCTTCATGATAGGTATTCATACAATCCGTAAATGTGCTCGTCATAAAAGATGATTCTGCTGAATCTTCGATTGAGTTGCTCTCTGCAGTACCATGAAGCCGTACTGCCGTGTTCTCAAATCGCTGAAGACCGCTTTTTCGATCCTTGAACGCCTAGATAGGTATTGAGCTTGCCGTCTCCAGGAGGTCTGTTCTCAATCTGTCTCTCCACCACGGAGTTCACTGATCCGCTTTCATTCGAGTTTCCCGATTTACTAGCCTGCTCCCGGGGAGCAGAGTTGATATTGGTGGCTGTAGGCGCAAGAGATGCAGTGGCGTGGCCGCTATAGTGAGGCAGAACGCCTTGAGCTGTGGTAGACGAAACCGTTCCGGGGACTGCGTTACCACTCGAGGTACCGCGTTTCATCATCTCATGCCAGATGCCGCTGCGAGGTCTTGGCCTAGAGATACTCTGTGTTAGTCGAATCACGATGTAGGAGGGTAATTTACGGACCGAGTTTGACGTAAAGAATTACGTCCTTTGAACACAATGTTTTTCTCATCATTTTCGTCGGGACTGTCGCTCTCGGAGCGAGCATTGGGACTGTCAGCCACAGTCACCTCATGACGACTTCCCCTGTAGACCTTTTTTCCCGTATCTTGACGGGAACGACGAACAACCAACATATTGCTATCTCGACTAGGGGCTGTGGATTTCTGAGATGAACCGGACTCAGTTGAGGTTCCCATTGCACCTCGCCCACATGGATGCGGAGTACATCGAGAAGATTGGAAAGGATCAGTTTCAGCTTCACCGTTCCTGCCACCGCCTTCAGTCTCAATCACACTGGCCATGACAGAATTAAATCTCTGATTGAGGCCCGAGTCATTGTCGGGAGATTGACTGCTGTCTGGCGAGGGTGGATAAAAGTCCTTGCCATCGAATTTGGGAAGACCACTTTGAAGGTGATGGGGAGCGTTGCCCCAGTACATGTGACGAGCTCGGAGTTCGTCCTCAGTTAATGGTCGTGGGTAAATGTAGTCCGTATCCTGAGCTCGCTCAGCGCTCATTCCAGGCGGGAGCTCTCCCACAAGATAAGGCTTGGGAGGCACATTTTCCTCGTACCTGGGCCGAATATTGACAGAACGTGGCATTTCGTCGCTGGCAGATTGAGTTTCTGCTGCGCGAGGCTGAAATGGAGGAGCCAGCGCTGCAGTGACAGGCAAAGCTGATGATTTCTTGCTGGCAATAGTTTCATCGGCTTTACCCAAAGACTGCACTTTAGGCGCAGCTTGAATGCTAGCACTGTCATGGTTAGAAGAGAAAGCAATTCGCTGGCTTTTTGAGTTTCCCTTGTCAGTTCGCACAATAGAGGCTTCGTCTGGGAGACTGGAAAAGCTGTCAGCGCTGTTTTCTTGTTTTGCGCTGCTACTAGTCACTGGAGATTTTGACTGATCATCATCTGCGGATGTTGAACCACTTAAATCGTCCTGAGATTGATCCTTTGTGAAACATTTATTTTCATTGGCAGCCTGCTCATCTTGAATCTTCTCGAAGTGCTCGATGGAGTGACGCAACGACTGCGCATGAAGCTCCATGGTTCTTTCATCAATTTGATGCTTGTTGTATTGTAACTGGTCCTCCGTCCACTTGAGAGAAGCTCGAAGCACCGAAAGCTGTCTTTTGGTTATCTGGCTGGCTCGGATGGAGGACTGATGTTGTCCAGCAGATAGGGCAAAATTCGGTGCCGTAGGGTATGGCTGCATGGGAAGCGGCACGCCAGCTGCCTGAGCTTGAGGTATCTGTCCATTGCTCTGAGACAAAGGAGACATGATATGACTAGGGACAAATCTCTCGCCAGCTGCCATGGGTGACAACATTGGGGGTCCCAAAAATCCATGATGAGGTCCCAAGGCAAAGGGTTGGAAAGAACTTCCAGACGGCACCATCCATTGTCCGTTATGGATATGGGGCCGTGTAGGATCGCAATGGTCAGAGGCAACAACCCGAGTTGGTGTTGCGTTCTCCGCAGCTCCGGTTTCACTTTGCCGGTCATTATTTGCTGAGTTTGGCGGTGGCGGCGGTACTGCCACGAGACCTGGAACATGGCTCATGGTGTGAGGAGCCATTCCCATAGCCCCACCAATATTGAACCCTACATGCCAGGGCATAATAGGATACGGGGCTGGTCCCATTGGCATAGGTACCATGCCAGGAGCAAAGCTCGGAATCATAGCATGCGGAGGGAAAAAGCCAAAAGGCTGTGGCATAGCAAACTGGCCTTGCTGCAGAGACTCCCGGCTAGGTTGGTGGCTGTTGTTGGTAGCTGCCTCCATGGCAGGCTTTTCTCTGGGCCACCTAGCTGTGGGTGATGGAGAACCGCGTGTGTTCGGTACGATGCGACCACCGGCTGTAACTCGAACATGAGTTGGCGATACAACTGCTCGGTAGAATCGTTGGAAACCTTCATTTTTCTGAGCAGCTAAGCCAGCCGGCGCAGAGATGGGTTGTGCTCCCACGGCATCTGAATCAGTGCGGCCACGGTATCTCCATTCAGACTCAGTACCATCTAACTGTCGAGCCCCTTCTCCACGACGAGGAGAAGAATTATCTACACCTCCAGAGAACTTGGCTGGCTCTTCCATGATGTGAGGAAGTGGGCGTTCAAGAGGCAGTCGTAATACTTCGCCTAAAATGATTCCAGCCGATTAGCAAAGGTATCAGAGTATCTGCAAGAGAGAATCTTACCAAGGTCTTGATCTTGGCGAAGCTTTGCTTGGAGCTGACCGTATAGTCCTTCTCCGACAGGTGCCTTCTTAAGACGGAGAAGCTCGTGAGGCGTATAGGTTTGGACGGCCATTGCTAGTTTCAAAAAGACCGCAGGAAATGTAGATAGGCAATCCTTCCTAAGTGAAGGGAAGCAACAGAAATGAGGAACAGTAGAAGTCGCGAAGGAAACAGTTGCAGATGAGTGCAAATCGAAACAAACACAGTTGTGGCTGGAATCTGTTCTGGTGAGTATGCAATTAGCAAATCGTAGTCAAAAGGAGACAGAACTCTGCAGCTGCTGGTAGGAAAAAGGGGAAAGAGAATGTCATCCACAGGTGCACACAGAGTTACAGAGAGGAAAGGGAAGAAAAGCATTACCAAACGAGTGCCAAGTGAGCACGAATATGCATACAAAGCCTTAGAGAGCAGGCGTCCAACAAGAGGAAGGGGGTCGAGCGGCGAGAAACTGAAGCTGTCTGGTGATCGAAAGAGTGCAGTTGAAGTTGGGTAGAAGTGGAATGGCGTGTGAAGAAAGCAAATCGAGCACGAAATGAGCACCGATGAGCTGCCCTACCTTGGTACCCAGGACCAGGTACCTTCCAAGATCTGTAGAAGCCGAGTTAGCAAATTCGAGAAGGAGCGTGTTCGAGGATAGCCGAGTCAGTCTGTACTTGCCAATGAGATGAGCTAAAGCAGGAAGTTGCGCTGAGCGATCTGGGAAACTGCGAGGCACACGGAGCTGTTCTTCAAGCGAAAAGCGAAAGGCGGGTGACGTCGTCGCCTGATATTTGTCAGCTTAAGATACCAAAGAGAACAAAATCAAGAATCTCAGTCTCCAACCCAGTAGATAGAAGCTTGGCGCTGATGCGCCGATTATCAGCGTTTGGATGCTACTGGAGTGGAAAGCCAGGGACCTAGTGGTGGGCTGGAGCCAACATGGAGCAGGAGATATCGAGTAGGTACTATCGAGTAGGTACCAAGAAAATATGGTCAATCAAGAAAGATGGCGTGTAGCCGAATAGCCTCGGTTGAATAGCGAGAATATCTGTTGCTAAACAAGGAGTTATATCTGGTTAGAAGAACAGAAGATATCTGGAAAGTGCGTTTGGCCGCAGTGTGGATGAGAAACTTCAACAGAAGGTGCAGTGCATGAACGAGAAGGAACTGTTGGCCAATTGATATAGTGCCGAGAAAAAAAACAGCACAAAGCGAATATTTACTCGTTGCCCCGGTGCTGCGCGTTATACACGCCTGGAGACGTGACGGCTCGTTTCATGTTACAAGCAAAGCTTTTCCTACTTGATCAACAATCGTGGAGATAGGCTGCCGGACGCATGCCGGCTCGGCGGACCTGTAACCCCCGGAGACATAACAATATTGTGAATTCAATGCCTGGCGGAAGGCAATCGGAGGAAATCTCAGAAAACTTGCTCAGATCAGTGCACCCAAATTCAGTGACTTGGTTCTTGCACGTCCATTGAGTTGTGTTGCTTCCATGTTCGTGATAATCTGGTCTTGGTGTACCACCTTTGTTATGTATAATGGGTGGGCCTTTGGAGTACCGAGCGACGCTTTCTGAACGGTAACTGAAGACTATTAGTACATTGATAGACCAATTGCTACAAGGCCTCTGCTGGAGTGAGCTGATTTTGCTTTGCCAACATGAAACAGTCAATGAATAGCTTCAGATGAGCAAGTTTTAATTGACTCGCATGATGGGCTGATTCATCATGATCTTCTCACTTTAAAGGAGTCTAAATAAAGACATTAGCTCTTGAATATCAAGTAGAGTTAGTATCCAAGCCGCATGCGCAATTTACTTCTTATTCCATTCATCACCAATGACTCTCTCTAATCGTGTAGAGGAAAGTTGCTGGTGAGATGATTTTCCAAGCACAATCAGGCGGCCACTTTCATATGGCCTAGCCTTCCCATTACCACCTCGTCAGAACTTAGTAGAGGGACCCTTGTGCCCAAAGCAATATCCATATGCAAGACGCTCGTCAAGTCGAGGGGGAAACAATGCATGGTTGCAACTAAGTAGCCGCTCAATCGGTGCTTACAATTACACACCATCGTTCCTTATGTAACACACCATGACAGCCGCCATCATATCAGGGTATTTGCTGGTAGAAAACAATCCCCTCGTCAATTCCAATACAGCCCCAGCTACTCCTGAAAGGATATGTCAGTCTTTGTATTTGTAGGGGATGAGAAATAACCTAGCGAGATACTATATGGCTGTAGTCATGATTGAGGTAGAAACAAAAGATATTGTCAAGTCAAATAATTTGCTTCATATGCCATTATGCGATAAGTTAGCCAAGAAAAATAGATCAAACCCCCAGTCACCGCTCCAAAAGCCTGAATCCAACATCACGCCTCATTCGGCCGGTCAAGCCAGGTAGATTATGCCATATACACACCTTGCGATCTATTGGGGATGAATCTCTTCTAGAATAACGCTTGAATCTGCCAAGCCTAAAGTACATGTACTCAAGACCTAGATGCCCCAGAGCCAAACAATCGCATTTGCTGTCAAACAGTACTGCTGCCACTCTTTCTACTACCTATAACCATACTGTTAACGAATAAGAATAAGAGAGCCAGGTATGCTTGAATCATATGCCTTGTTGTTATTTGACGATGATACTAAAGATTGTTCAAGCCTGCTTGATGGCTAGGCATCCCAAAAGATGAGGCGATCTAGGTACGAGATGTGCAGTCACAGAAAAGAGGTGAAGAGGCCAATAGAGTGGGCGATGAATTTGATCAAGTGAGAAAGCAGAGAAAAATAAAGTGAAAAGTATCTGCATTCAATAGCAGTTTAGGTCAACAGCCCTTGCTATTGTCAAATGTGCGCCGGCTGTCACACTCTAGCGAAATGGCTGTCAGCTGTCTCAGATAATGAAGCATTCGGGTTTTCTTCTCTGCTTCTATCTAATGGACGCAGCATCAAGCTTTTCGACATTGAAAAGGATGTGAAAAAAGATGCAGTGATCACAAAAATGCTCTTCATATTCATGACTTTGCTATGCAGCTCTGGGAGCGACTCTGGAACGCCTATCTGTTAGACGTAGCAAACGGAACCTGAAGAACACTAAGGTAGCTTGTAGTTGAGGAATTCAGGGGGAAAAGTGAGTAACCAGGGCAATTGCCATTGATTGTATTAAAGCTCGCAGATTGACGTCTATGTATCTAAAGCTTTATCACAGTATCTCGTGATCTGAGGTGCAAATAGCTACTATAGCTACTATAGCTACATATAGTAGCTGCTATAGCTACTATCGCTACTATCGCTACTATCGCTACCATAGCTGCTATAGCTGCATGTGCCATTTGGGATTGGACAGTTTCACATGCTAATTATCTATATAAATACAGATTAGATGCGCTAATTTATACCATGGCTGTAATTACAACTATTAGTACCCAATAATTTGGTGTTAAATACCCCACTAAAGAAAGAATTGAACTCGGGAGCTTAGACAGAAGGTAGGCTGCTTTATCTTACAGAGGTGTGCAGCAGCTTGTTTCAAAGAGATCAATTAATGTTACATGTCTGGTGCAAATCCTGCCATTGCCAAATCCCTTGTGCCTCTTTGCGTTACCAATTTAGGTTACACACTAGCTTTTGATAGGCCCTTGTCGACAGCCGAGCATGGGAGAGGTCTCCGCACCTCCAAAGGACAAATGGATCGCGAAAAAGCCTCCTTCGCCTGATGCTACCCCGCCGTTGCCTGTCATTAGCTGCCCTAGTGCTGGAGACGTTGTGATGCTATGAAGATAGTGCGCTTGTGGAACCCTCCGCGTGGAGCCGCTGACTTGTCCTCGGCAACCAAGACGTTGGAGGGAGCCGAGCCAGTTCTACGGCCCGCGGTATATTAGCAGCTGCGTAGGATTGCCTTGGAGCTGACAGCGGATGGATCAATTGGGGCTGAATACATCATAGGCAGGGGAGAGCTGTTTATAAATACCTTGGTGATCCGCCGAGTTTTGAGACGGGAATTGACTTTGGCTAAACTGCTAGATGATATGAGGTTAGCTGACTGCTTAATCACTCAGCCATAAATCCACCCGTATCCGGCACCGCCATTGCTTCTGTATCCAAAGAGTCATTTTGTTGTATCTCTTCTCATTACATACTATATCCATTTGGCCCTCTACTTTCTGTGTATTTAGCCCCAAACTTACGATACACTCTCGCAATGGCCCCTCTTAAGCCGTACTGGAAACAGCCCTCCCACCCCGACGTCCAAGATGTCGTCGTCAGCGGAGCCGACTTCATGACCAAGAGCCTTTCAAAAGTGACTGTGCCACCATTTGGCCTGTTCGCCAAGTTTGAGTTTCCCCCTTGCGATGTGGCCGAGAAGGCCACCTACGCTACGGTGCAGATGGGGAGAGATAGGCACCTGAATCTCAACAGCGACTTGCTCTACATTAACCACTCTTGCGAGCCGTCTCTTGTTAGTTGAACCAACCACCGGGATAGTGAAGACCTGTCATAAGATCTTTTAAAAAGTTTGGCTGTTAATATTTACCTATAGCACTTTGATATGGGGAGCATGAGGATTGTGGCTGGCCCCAAAGGCCTCCGTCCTGGAGATGAACTTACAGTTAGTAAACCCATATTTCTCACTGCTCCACCATTGCCATGATACGGATTCGGACTTATTTATTCTGATTGTTCTCTTTCTTATAGTTTTTTTACCCCTCAACTGAATGGGACATGGCTCAGCCATTCGACTGCTTTTGTGGCAAGCCCACTTGCAAAAAGGTCATATCTGGCGCCAAGGACATGCCCTCTGAGAGTCTCGAAGGCCTCTGGCTCAACGATCACATCCACGAGCTCCTGGAAGAGCAAGCTTCTTCTCAACAATACCAACTTGGCTCAATCTATGAACATGGTGGCGTGCGTTCCACCCAGCTCCCAGAGGCTGTCTTGAATGGTCGGGTAGAGAAGCTGAACGGCACGGATGCCAACGTCGATACTCAAGGCCTTGGATTATTGCGCCGCGGAGTGACTTCACGGGAGATGAGCGGCGAGATGGGCGGCGATACTACCGTCAAAGTTTGATACTAGTGGCCTCTACGTTCAAGACTGGTTGCATCATTGAATTGGAGGTCTGGTGGCTCATAAGGATTCAACATCCAAAAGGCTACCAAACGAGTTTTTTTTTTTCATCTTTCGTTTCTATTTTCTTTAAAATTTCGAAAAAGTGGAGGAAAAAAATTTGATTTGGATTGCTCACGGAAAGGAGTAAACGTTATCTAAAATCTATCTATAGGTAAACAATAAAGCTGCTCAAGCGCACGCAAGAGCAGGAAGAAAAAAAGAGTAAGAAGATATACAATACAAAATTTTCAACAGTTCCTAATTTATACCTCGCCTCTGGCGATATGTCTTTTCCCATTCTTCGCGTTCCAAAAAGCGGCGTGCGTGAAAAGCTCGTGTGAACCGCCATGCCTCTGTATCAGCCATATTCCAAGCTTCGAGTGAAGTGCGCATCTCAGTTCCATTGATGAATGGCTTGCTCATCATGACCACTTGCTTGGCGCGATCAAGAAGAACCTGTTCATGTGCGACTTGTTTGACCCTGTCTGGCTCTTCTTCATCCTTGAGCAAGCGTATAGCCGGCACCGGGCTGAGAGATTTTCCGTCATCCATGCCTTTGTCGGGAATGGTAAATCCAAAATGCCACTCCAGATCACTGGGTATTTCATCATCTGCAAGAAGCCATAGAAATTGCGTAGAGTTGGCCTCACCGGCTACTAGCTCTTTAAATTGTACCACTCTGCGACTTGACGTTACGCCAGAGCCGAGATAAGCTTGAGTAACGGCGCTGAGCCACGTATCTCGAGGCGATTCAAGAATCCAAGTGACATTGATGGATTCTCGGAGATTATTCACTAATGCAAAAGACCAGGGATGCGGAACTGCCCCAATTGTAAAAACGTCGGGCGAGTTGTGGAAGCGGAGGCGTGGAAGCACAGTGACGGCCATGGGGGATGCCACGCAGGGAGAGCATTTCGGTATATTCGGAGGACAAGACGATAGCATCGGGCTTTCAGGGCAGGATGCTAGAGACTGGGCCAGCTTCCAAGCACCGGCGACCATGGCTGTGGCGTGCTTTGGAAGGGGCTTCATGACTTCGATACCCTCAGAGAAGCTGTTCTGCCAGATGACTAAAAGATGATAGTTGATGAGTTTGTTGAGATTGCGGAGAGTACCAGCCCTATCGGCCTTTTGAATGACTTTGGCATATTTGGTTTCGATAATGTTGGGGCTATAGTAAGCAAGCGGCCTACTAGTAGTATTGACTGCTACTGCAGTGTCCGAAAGAGCTGCCGTAACACTCGTAGTTTCATGTATGTGCTCTATCTGTAAAATAGTCTGTAGGGCTGAATGTACATCAGCTTTTTGGCCAACGATGAATGCATTGTCGAGGTCTGTCCATTTCGTCAAGCTTGGGAATACTCCAGTGCTCAAAAATGGTACCAATTCGTCTTGCTGAGGAACGATTGGGAACACTGTGAATTCTGATAGTATGCCTCCACCCATAGCATCCCAGGCGAGCCATCGCATGAGATCTTGTCTCAGCTCTGAGGTTAATGGCATCCGCTGTACTTGGTCATAGAAGGAATTATTCATAGCATCGGCAGCACTTAGCACAACCGGACGGAACCCTTGTGCCCACCAGGCACGGCGCCATGTCAAGAGCAGCTCGGTTTCAGCATCCCTCTCATCCACCGTTGCCTGCTTGTCCGTGTCATAATAACAATAGATAGGCTGTCGAGTCTTGAGAGGAGGAAGCAGTATCCACTCAGCATCGAGCGTAACTGAGCTGGAAAACGAGGTCGAAAGAGACCGCTCATCTTCTAACCAAGATGAGCCATTGTACTTGATAATCTTTTGTTGCAGATGAAGAGGTGGTGGTTGATGAGACGGTGCAACGAATTGCTCGGGAGGCTCGTCGCTGATATGAGAAGGGGGTTCTTGTAACTTGGGCTCAACGTCGGAGGAGCTTGGCAAAGCTGGGGTTGTCGATGACAAGTTGCCAAGCAGTAGGATCGCAAGAATAGCCGAGAGAACTAGTATCACAGGTATTCGACGGGGGCCAAGTCGAGGGATTGGCTTGCCCCACGCCCCAGACCGGCCGCGCATCATCTGGCGGCTTGCACGATACAATCAACAAGTCCCATGCAAGCCATGCAAGCCATGCGCAGCTAACAGTAGCGAGATCGGCAGCAACAAGCCCCGCCTAGACCGGAGTCTTGTTGGGAACTCTGATATGGAGCGGCATGGATGTTGCGCACCTGTAGGGAGAGTGCGCAACGCGTGAATACGATGCTTCAGTGGTTTTGAGTCGCGTGGAGTCTTGATTTCCTGTGGCGAGGGCGGTGGAAAGTGGCGCATTGCGCGTGGCGTTCAGTCCGTGTACCTGAGTTCATACAAGAACTGCGTGTAATGGTGAGGTACCGAGGCATCAGTACGATGTTAGCGGCTTCTTCTCCCGCGCCTAACGCAAGAAGCGGAGAGCTATCAGGCCCGTCTATTTCAATAAGAGTCTCCCGGCATTAGCAGCTTCACAGCTAACGCCTTGCTGAAATCCGACAAAGGACCGTTTTGCCTTAACTTCTGCTTCCCGTGGTGTTATTGGAAGCGGCCTGTGCAAATCACACCAGACGCTAATGCCGACCACGTCGTAGTGGCCAGCGTTTCTATGTAAGAGCCGCCAAATCAGAGGCCATCAGAGCTCAATCATGACTGCATAGCCTGGCAGTGCCCGTACTTTGTTTGCGCATATAAACGCCCAGTCGGCCAGCACTAGACTTTCGCATGTAGCAGGCAACAGCGCCAATCCCCCACCAGGCTGAATCATCTCTTCTGTTTCCGTGTGATTATCCTGAGCCGAATACCTCTTGGCTCGCATCTGGATATCTGCCCGTGCCTATTTCACTGCATCTTCGCGCTTCTGGAAATACACCTGAGCATATTCAACATGCAACGCTCTTTGCCGGCCGTCGCATAGACTGAACGGCCAGCGCTCATTCATTGATCTTGTATAGGTGCGTGCGCATATCGTCGGCCGGAGCACACACAAAGTCATACGCCAGACTTGTGACCAAGAAATCGGCCTTACAGAGAGAGTTGTTCTTTTTGGTTGGCAATTCTCCTGCTATGCCAGGACAGCATAGCCATTCTGACGAGCCTCTGACATTCACCGGGCTCAGACTGGGGTGCTGAATATACAAACAGCTGCGTTAGCTGTCTGCAGCCGCCTGAACTGGTGAATTCTGTCTGCTCTTCGTAGGTACTTTGTTCTCTAAATTTATCGATAAAAAGCCCTCCGAGCCTCCCCAACACTGCCAACCTCCTCCACACTTGCCTCCAGCGGCATCTCCCACTCAGCATATTTCGTTTTGAACATTAGAGGCGTTTCTTCTTCTACTTCCTCTTGTTCTCCCTTCTATCTCTTTCGGTCTCTCTATCAAAGAATCGATTTTACCAACATCATCTTCTTGAATAAACGGCGAATCAACAGCGAGGGGTAGCGAGCTATGCATTTTACTCATATTTAACATCCGCCAGGTTGTTCGATCAAGCCTTCAATCATGGGCTTGAAGCAATTTAACCAAGATCTAGCCGCATCCAAAGAAATATCGATCAGCGCTGCCGTCTCAAACATTCGACGAGGGGATTCTGATGGCGAGGCCGTCTTCACCTGGTCATCGTCCAATGACGTCGCAACATCTCTTGATATCCAGATTCTGCTTCTCGGTGAGCACAATCGTCTCCGGCTTCTACCAGAGAGAAAGCTCAAAGCTAATGGTGCGCAGATGTCGACTCGTATCCTAACAGTTCGAGCGTCATGATATTCACAGAATCAGATCACTCCACCGTAGATGTCTCTTCTCTACTTGAACGCCTATCGTCTTCTCTTGCGAACAAGAACATTGAGACAATCATCAAAGCTGTTGCAGAGAAGATATCTGCCAAGTTAGAGCTCACCAATGATGAGCGTGGAGACGCTGACTCGGACAACGTGCCTGATCTGGACGACTACGACGAACTGGAGTCAGAATACGACGGCGACGACGACGACGACGACGACGACTTGCTTGAAGCTGCCTTCCTTCCGACTTTCTCCAAGGCATTACCAGATCGACCTCTTGACGCTGCGATCTCTATCAGACAGTTGAAGAGAGATTTACGAACTGCCCAATCGGCTGGCATCTCGGTAGGAGTCTATCCAAGGAGACAGCTGCGAAATGCCGAATTCTTTTCTCTATCTCTTCGAGTAATGAAGCTTGGCATTCCAGAGCATGCTCTTGAGGCATGGGGCCTTGAAGATGACGAATATTTAGTTCTCCTGTGCCGATTTGCGCCGCGTTATCCGACTGTTTCAGAGATTTGTAATCCTACTTTCGAAGACTGGAAGCCACAATTTTGCTTTGGGAAATGTTCAAGGCCCAAACCATCCGCTGAGACTTCCCGTCTCGCTTTTCTGACGACAGCTAATGGGACCAGAGGCAATCGAGAAGCTGACAGGAGTAGCAGAAAGAGCGGTGATGAAGCTACCAGCGGAGGATTTACTCCTCTTTACATGTCAAATTCAATCAACATGCTGATGAATTCCGACTTTCTCAAGCTGTTGCGTATGAGACGTGACGATGGATTATCGTGGGACGGGGCTATCCGACGTCAAAGGGTGCTCGCTAAAGGAGGGCATGACGTTTTGCAGCAAAAAGATCCTTCTAAAGATGACACATCTGACAACTTGGTATTCGAAAATTCGATACCATCTTTGAGCCATGATTACGCCTTGGATGAAGCGGAAAAACTCAGCCTCCCCATGGTTGCTATGCAATTTGCCTTGCGGCGCCTTGTTCGTTGTACCAAGTATTGCATGGTTTGCCACCAAAGATTGGAAGATGAATTCGAAGCTCTCAAACCCTACGTCTGCAGTAATCCTCTCTGCACCTATCAATTTGTTTCACTTGGGCTTGGAGCAAACACTGAACATGAAATTATCCACAATCCTTACGTAGTCGACATCTTAATCAGCTTTTTCGCTTCAGCCCTCGCACATCCCAATTCTTTGCGGCAGTACCCCACTGGTCTCAGTTTAAAGGCTGTGAGCACCGGATCGAAGGCCAAGCCATTGCAGCATTCTGTTGCTGAAGCTTGCTTCCTTGAAAGATCAATCCGTCTCGATCCAACCGATTATTCCAGCCGTCGCAGTATCAAAGTAGGAGATACAATATTAGTCGTCATTGATGGCGTGGAACCGAGCCCAACCTTGCCAATCCTCAATGGAAGTAAGTAGCTAACCCCCCCCCCCCCTCCTCTTTCCCTTTACTTTCTAGTTTTGTATTCTGCACTCCTTCCTAGGCACAGACCCCCATCCCCTTGAATCGTATCCGGCTAGTCTCTTCTAACTTTCTTCTTACAGATCTCGAGAGACATGTTTGTAAAGTGACGAATACTATTGGCAACATCTGCTCTTTTGAGATTGTGACAACGATGACAAACCCTGTCAACATTCTCACCCTGCCGGAAGAAGAAGAGCCTACACAAGCCTCGAAACCTGTGAGAGGATGGTTAAAAGTCTTGATTTTTCAGTATTCCAACGATGTTGATGACCTTGATGCGACCGAACGATCAGCTGCCCTAAGTTCAATACTCCGCGGAATCCCACCCGTGCTGGATATGAGGGCTTATATATTAAGCAATCCTAGCAAAGGCCTTGCGTCGTGGAGTCGCATTGACAAGAATGCGTTTACCCTTCTCCAGTGGATCATATCGTCCAATAGGTCTCTTATTCTTCAAGACGATGCGGTGCCGCCTCCAGCCGACTCATCAGAAAAGTCAGATAATCTTGAGAAAGCTGAAGCTGTAAACCCCAACAAAGTGCAGGGTATGCCAAGCCAGTGGATGCAATTTCGATTCCTGCAGGGGACTCCAGAAAGGGAACGACTTTTTATGAAAGAGTTGACTACTGTGGCGCAATCCGAAAGCCCTGAAAAGCGGTATCCATCAATATTCACCTGGCATGGCAGTCCCCTTCGCAATTGGCATAGCATCATACGAACAGGACTTGACTTCGAGACTATTGCATTTGGACGCTCTTTTGGGAATGGAGTGTACATGAGCAAAGATTTCTCGGTGAGCATAGGGTACAGTGGTAATGTGCCTAACCCCCGGAATTCATCTGGTCTGCATGCTGTAAGTCTATTTTCTTCATGGTTCTTACTTGCTCTACTTCTTTTACTTACTCTACCCTTTTCTCAAATAAGTTGCTGATAATCTTTCTGTAACAGGGTAATTTCTGGCCCAATTCGGTCCTCAGGCCGAGTTCTGCTATTTCTATATGCGAAGTAGTTAACCGAACGAAAGAATTCGTAAGCATTTCACCTCACTACGTGGTCAACAAGATCGAATGGATTCAATGCAGATATCTATTTGTTGCTGTAAATCCAGAGCCACGAGCCACGCAGCAACCCTTTCCAACGAAGCCCAAAGAAGCCGGTGTCGGATACATAACTCAATGTCCATCAAATCAGCTCCTCGCACCTGGTGGCAAACCAGTTCAGATTCCATTATCGGCAGTTCCGTCGAATCGTCAGCGTTTTCCTTTGGATAACTTTTTACAATCTAAAACCAAGGAAGCACCGAGTACGCCGCTTGATGATCACGGCGAGACGGACCACGAGCTCCTTGTAGACTCTGAAGACGAAACCATTGGCAACAGGCGTAAGCGCCGGAATTCATCAATAGGTTCGTCTGATAGGCGAAGCACGAGACTAAAGTCTGCAGATTCTGAAGTTCCGGCTGGTGAAGGTGATTTAATCCGACTCAAGACCAAATTTACGTCTGGTAGCCTAGACCTACAAGGCCTCCCAAAGCTTCCAGAGCCAAGCTGGGCTTCAACTTCCCCAGCAGCGCTCAGAAACTTGAACCATGCCATCAAAGAGATGCATCAGATACAAAGCAGTGAAGACATTGAGGTCCTTGGGTGGTATATCGATTTCAACAACCTGAACAACGTTTTTCATTGGATTGTAGAGCTACACAGCTTTGAATTGGGGCTTCCTCTTGCTCAAGATATGGAGAAAACGGGCTGCACCAGCATCGTGCTTGAATTCCGATTCGGCGCCAGCTTCCCGTTCTCTCCTCCTTTTGTTCGGGTTGTACGACCAAGGTTTCTACCTTTTTCACAAGGGGGCGGTGGCCATATTACAATCGGAGGAGCCATTTGTTCCGAGATTCTCACCAACTCGGGGTGGTCGGCTGTTATGTCGATTGAGAAGGTGCTCATACAGATTCGCCTGGGCTTGACGGAGTCAGATCCTCCTGCGAGATTGGAGATGAAGGCTGGCACGAGTGACACGGGAGATTACTCCATCGGTGAGGCAGTTGATGCCTACCAACGAGCTGCAAGATCACATGGTTGGGCGATTCCGGAAGATGTGCAACAAATTGGACGGCTTTGGGTAACGAGTACTGATTAAAGGAGGATTTACATGTCCAGATGTGGCCAGTGGTGCTTAACAAACAGGTTGAATATCAGACGTTGACAGCGGTAGTAGTAGTGCAGTGATAGAATAGAGAAGCGGTACAAGCGGTAGAACTATCAGGAATAATATGGTTTCTATGTGTCTCCATCTCCTTGCTCCATATTTGTCAACCTAAGAGCACATGCCTTGCTACCCAACTCCAGGAACCTAAGTAAATAGCTCCATCTGGCTTCTATCCCTCTTAGTGGACATGCTTTCAAATCTTTCCAAGAAAGGGGAGGAAGGCACATGTGGTTAGTGACTCTCTCGCTTTTGGTGTTACTTTAGAGACCAGCAATTATCCCATGGCTCGGGCCATGATCTATAGCTACGTTTCGACCGTTGCTAAAAGCAAATGCATGCCTAACATTTCTCAATATCAACTAATTTAGAATTATCCAGTACCTGGTTTCCAAACCTATCAAGCGGATGCAATACCATTTTACACCTACATAGCCTGACTTAATCTTAAAAACGTCACTCATCAATAATTGTCAAGATGTGAAGTTTCTGAATATCCATCAGCAATTTGCTTATTATGATATGCATTAGATGTATTTAACCATGGGGATTGAGGTCATACGTGGTATTTTACTTGTTTTCCCATATAGCATTGTTTAACCTGTATCCAATGCCACTTACTTGGAGAATCTCGGATGTTTGGGGATGTACCGGAAGAAAATCAGGATCTGACATGGGACTGGACCCCTCTGTTTGCCGAAACGTAACCTCTGCTGGAACTATTTCCATTGCAAACGTAAAAGCACTCGGATAATGGGTGCGATATCGATGGATCTAAACTCGCAGCGAGCGTTGGTAAGCGATTATATTTTCTTGAAAGAGCGAGGGGGAATAAAGAGAAAGATGAGAGAAAAATCACTTGGCTTGTAGGCTCGAAAGACAAAGTGTACTGTTCAGCTTCGCAGTGGATTGATATGTCTAGCGTCATGGCATTCTGAGGCTGGTTGGTCGTTTCAGCTTTGATCTTATCGCAGATGAATGGGAAGTATCGTAAATGGCTTACCACATTATGGCCTTGGTCTCAGTCTGAATATTTGTTAGCATTTTCTAATAAAGTACGTAAGTCATAGCAGTAGCAGATGTAGCAGATGTAGCAGATGTAGCAGATGTAGCAGATGTAGCAGATGTAGCAGATGTAGCAGATGTAGCAGATGTAGCCGATGTAGCACTTCATAGCGATATATGCACGTATGTATGCTAGCTAGAGTGCTGGATAACAGAATTAGGGTGCTGGATAATTTTTCGCTATTTCTACAGATATGCTTCTGCTATATAAGTGCAAGGTTGCATCAGCGAGGAACATAATCTTCATACAGTCATATGACTCAGGCATATAGACAAAACAACAGATAGTACTCCGTGTTTGTGACTCTCATCTTTTCATTGAGCGCGATGACAACTCCGCTGGCGAAGACTTCCTTTTCCGTGGCGCTGTAAGCCCACGCTCCTCCGCATCCTCAAGCGGTTTCACCACAGATAAAAACAATTTAGCATACGAAGCCGCGGCAGCTGCGGCATACTCCTGCCAAACGTTGTTTTTCTGGGGATTTGCGTAGTCAGATATTCCTCGAATCACCAGACATGGCAACACATTCATGACGCCTGCAGCCTCCATCTCAAAGCAAATCGCGCCATACTCCCTTGCTAGTCGATCTCGAGTCTGTGTGTCTTTGATGACGAGATTACCAGATGCGATGAGCCCGTAATGTACGGCTGGGTGAGTCCCAGAACAACGGTCCTGATCTTGAATAGGGCGACGATACTCATTTCTGCACTCTTCAATATCCTTCAGATACTTGGCAAGAGACTTATCAGTTTGCGGATCTGACTTGAGGTGACTAATGGCGCTCAGCAAGACTCGTGGAGGCGGCCGCAATGTGCCAGTTAACTCGAAAATGTTGTTCTGAAGCGCCTTAGCCAGGTCGTATTGTATCACGCCTGGCAAATTACGTTCTGGGTGGCTGACAACGACATCTCCTAGACGTACATCGTTCTTATCAGAAGATACGCCGCCCCCAATGCCCACTAAGAGACAGAATCTGACTTTTGGAAAGCTCGATTTCATACCAGATGCTGTAATGGCAGCAGAATTTGTCCCGTATTCTCCAGAGGGAAGGCAGGTTGCCACAACATTATGACACCCTATTCGACCTAGAATATAGTGGTTGGTGTCTTCTTCTGCAGTGTAAACTGCTTCATGGACTTCGTCGAGCAATATGCGAATAGCCATAAACTCTTTGGGCAAGGGGCAGATTATCCCAACGGTATACTGCTTTTGAATGCGATCTTCTGTTGCTGCCCTACTTGTCTCGGACGATAGAGATGTTATGGAAGAGTCAGCTGACAGGTTTTGCATTGTTGATTCCTCAATCGATGATGACGATTTTGTCTTCGTGCTGTCGTTATTGACCGCTTGCTCGAGCGACGGTAAAGATACTTCACTTCCTGCCTCCTGAGGATCACCCGTGTCTCCCCAATTCCAATCGAAAAGAGGGTTGTACCCAAAGATGTATGCACCATGGTTATCCAAAGACAAAGGACCTCTAGGCAGTAGTTTGGCCGCAAGATTATTGGGGGAAAATGTCTTTACCGGATCACAATGATCCTTTGTTAATGCGCTTTTGCATCGACAAGAAACAAAAAGCTCTCCAGGGCTGTGCCAAATAACTCCTTTAGCAATCTCAATACTGCTAGCGTTATCCCTGCCATAAATTTCCAGTATTCTTCTCAAATCGGGGATGGCGACTGCGAGGTAGGAATTATCTTTAGGAAGACGAGACCAGTATTTGCATTGGTTTGTTGAGGTGGTCTGGATCAAACCACCAAGACCGTTTCCAAATAGCGTTGCTGCGTGTGTAGCCCGGATGAAATCAATCCATCCTTTACCTTCAGGGGCCAGCATCGTTACGCGAGAATGAAGAGGATCGACGTTCGTAGCTAAGACTTTGAAATCCCACCCTTCCAAGTTTCGCCTCGGATGACTTTTGAGCTTTTCCAAGTCTTCACTTACATACATTTGGTAATTCATAAGTCGCTCAAGGACGCTATGCATGTGTTCGATGCGATCCTCGAATTAAATGTGTCCGTCCCGGTTCTTGTATATTGGAAGTTTCCTATTATCTTCATTGATGAGGCATGTGTTACTGAAGTTGTTTTGAAAGGATCTCCTGACTCCTGGATGATGTGACGATCCGGTCCCTAGATCCTAGATTATTCGTTATAGGGTAGGGAGATTCCCAAGGGATAGATGCGTGTGTCTATGTTGGCAGATGGGATAGGATATCCGTTATTGAGCACGTTGCGTAGTCACGTAGTTGGTAGATAAGATGTAACTCGCATCTGGTACTATTGCGTTGTTAACAACTAACTATCTAAGCTATTTAATGAGCGTATTCCAAACGGCTTATATAGTAAGTCATTTCATAGGGAGCGCTGTTGCCCATCGCTCCTCGTAGGCTATGGAGCGCTGGCGTTCGTCGCTCCTGTATAGGTAAGGAGCGCTCTTAGGCGTCGCTCCTCATATGATTGGTTAACCGTTCCGTGGTTCTTCCGAGGTACGTACTTCCGTTGCGACCTAATGAGGTCAGGTCGTAACAGATGAGCTTTCTTTTGAAAAGGAATGCCGGCTTGAATTCGTCTTTACTGTCGTGGTTAAGTGATGCACGAACAAGATGAAGCAACGCGGTAGTGCCGTTAACCAGCCACCCACGCTTATTAGCTTCGTCCCACAGCAACACAAATTTTCTGGAAATCCACTTTAGTCTTGGAATATAGCCATCTTCTGATATGTGGATAGGTGTGTCTTTAGCTCCCAGCATATATGGTGAGCCACCTACAACGTATCTTCCCAAAGATACAGAAATATTGGAGAAAAGGTCATCTGCCTGAGGCTTAGGCAAATGTGAGCAACTGACGGGTTCAGCTTTTGAAGATCCTATACGTAGCACATATTAACGAAATTGTATCCTCTTAGACATGTCATTATCGTCGGGCATCCAACCTACCAGCGTAAATCTTTGCTTCCATGCACCGCCCAACAACATGCCGGCTTGTCTCAACATCGACGTTGTTGACATGTTCAAGACCTCCGGAGTTGTCCAAGAATGAGATGTAGCTCCCATCCTCTTTGTAAACATAGTGCCAAATGATGGTATCGCCTGATCGTTTTGTTGGTGCCAACATTGCAGAAAAGCCCTTGAGGAAACATTTTCCATTAAATTCCTCCATTCGTCTGGTTCGAGCCAGGCCTGCCATGATGTTGAGCGGGATTTCAAGACCAACGCGCGCCACGGATTTTCGTCGAATGGGGATTCTTTTGACGATAGTTGCATTTTTAAACATACGGTGCCAACACTGGCCATTGTTAGGAATAGTCTGCTGCGGAATTTCTTCAACCAGGAAACTTATGCTGCAGTTGGACGTATCAGACCAAGTCAAAACAGGGCTGCAGTACGCCAATCTATCATTGTAAGGAGATGCCCGCAACGCTGCGCCAGTTCAAGCAAGCACTTCCCTGACTTCTGTCACAAGGCTTATATCGGCTTTTACCTCGAGCTTGAATATTCGCCGTCTGAGTGAGGCAATTAACGTAGGCGCCCCAGGAACATCGTCTGGTAGAAAGGAAAGATAAATCAGTGACTTCACTTGGTGGTATTGTTGAGAACTTACGCATTTGTATATAGTGGGTACCAAAGCAGATGACATTCTTGATCATCTTTAGCATTATTGGTTCTAGTGATGGCCATGTCTGCGTCAAATATGCGCCAACGTTAGAGCCTGCCCGTCGTCGCAAGTGCCAGTGATGGTTATCACCTGCTCTACCGAATCCGAGTGTTTAGCTGGATAGTTTTGCTCCCCCAGAAACATTAATATGTCCCAGTCCATAGTGAATATGATTTGATAGTGTATCTTCGACATAAAGTTCTCTTTTTTCGTTTCATCAAGATGTGATCGGTGACGTTTTGTCTGATGGTTTCAATAGTCTTTTGTCCTGGTGACATCAATATAATTTCGCTGCGCAGCTTTGTGAGAAGCCATTTATATGACTCTACCTCAAGAAGAGGATAGGATACAGGAAGTGTCTCAAATCCAATCACCGTCCGGCTTGGATAAGCTCTTGAGCTCATAGAATCTTGTCGAAAATCTATCGGCCGGTGTAACTGCAGTCTAGACATCTGGGCGGCCAAATCAGGTCTGACACCATTTCCTCCCGCATTTTCGGGCGATTGGCCAACGGCATCTTGGTTTTCTTGTGTATGCTGCGTCCCGATCTGGACCGTGTTATTATCAATTGAAGCTATAGGTGATGGGGCATTTGGGATGCCATTTCGTGCCAACAATTCGCGCTTGACCGAGTCGTTGATGGGCCTGTTATTTATTTTACATCAACTCCTCACTCTCGGGATGAATGTACATGTAGTTTCATGGCAAGCTTACTGGCGATTCTTCTCAACAAAGAGCCACATACCCACTTCGATGGGAGTCTTGGATTGATAATACCCTCTCATTGCAAAGAGCAAGAGCAATTGCGGAAGAAGCGCCAATGATATCTCGCATGTTTGATCGTCGGGTTGTAGGCGAATTATATTATTCACGAGATCGTCAACCATATGCGCTGACTGCAGTTCTAATTCTGCATCAGGCTGATTTTCCACATCTTTCATTTCTCGACCTTTTGCTTCGCTATTTGGTGCTTGTGATGGGTACAACAATCTCCTGTGAGGTCTATTGAAGAGCGCTTCATATTGTCAAAGTTCAGATTGTATACGAGCTTTTTGTTCGCTCTGAGCCCCCCTTGATAGAAGTCCAGGAAGCGGTGGCTCACTCAAAAATCTGTTCATGTTGTATCCAGGGTTGATAGCACTCTGGCTCTTAGTTTGACCTTGGATCTGAGACTGAGGCTGATCGGCCATAGAAGTATTGTCTGCCTCCAATCTGAACTCCTGATCTGGCGATTTTGAGTGAGACATAACGTACTACAACACTGAAGATGTCTTGAGGGGTGGTGATGCTCAGCTGCAAAATATTACTCTTCTCTAGCGGGAGGCGGCGAAATTATGGCCGGGGAGACGTGAAATGGCGCTTCCAAGATATTGAGCCCAGTTAGGCACAATTTAGGTTGGGTGTTGCAACTAGGTAGTCAATTGGCCTAATTTGAACAGGTCCGATCCTCCCTCCCCCGCGTCTATTTGCCGAGATGTAGCGAAGGTGGTGTTACAATTTGTATGATGGCCGCAATTGGCTATATGCGACCACCAGAGTGGAAGCAGTCTGTCGAGTTGATTGGCTATCTGAGAAATAGCCGCATGGTTGCCTAAAGCCTCATCCTCCCCTCTATTATCAAGGATATATGGAGTCCTCAATACTCGAATAGCTGGCTTATCATCTCACAACGTCGCATGTCACATATCCAATCTACAAACCAGGTGGTTTGACCTCTGTCTTAGACGGCCATTCGTGCCAAAAAGATCGAGCGATTCCGCAACAGCCAGTATGGCAATTCGCGAGGTGGCACGCCCCAAAAGTCGCGAAGACTTCGAAATCGCAATTGTTTGCACCGAAGACGTTGAATACAATGCCGTCTGCATCGTACTCGATGGTTTCTGGGATGATGATGGAGATCCCTTTGGCCGGGCTATCGGAGATTTTAATACCTACACTATAGGTCATATGGAAGGATTCAATATTGTTATCACGCTTCTATGCAACTCAGGCAAAGCCACAGCGGCAAGCACAGCGGCAAGCCTTCGCTCTAGCTATCCACGCATCGAACTTTTATTGCTTACGGGAATCTGCGAAGGTGTCCCAAATGCCATGGGCAAAGAATTGCTGCTGGGAGACATAGTCATTAGCGATACCGTTATCCAGTACGACTTGGGCCGCCGTTATGCTGATGGATTCCGTGAGAAGGACACCCTCGAAGAGAGTCTTGGCCGGCCAGATAAGAATGTTCGGAATTTGATCACTGTACTTAAAACAGATATCGGATTACTGCGCCTCGAGGAAAAGCTTTCATCTTATTTACGAAAGATGCAGAGCCGGGCATCCGAAGAGCAATATCAGCGGAGATCCAAGGCAACTTATCAGTATCCTGGTTCTACAAATGATATACTGTTTGAATCAGCTTATTGTTACAAACACTACGGCTCACCGCTGTGCAAATGCGGCGATTACATTGCGCTTGGCGATCCTGTATGTGGCAAGTCTGCAAAGATACCCTGCGAACAAACTGGCTGTGAAAGGAGCCATCTGGTCTCTCGAATGCGCCTAGAGAATAAGAGAATATTGGAAGATGATGGCGATGTCGATTCTGCTCAACAGCCATCCATTTTTATTGGCAGATTTGGATCTGGTGATACAAGCTTCAGTGCAGGGATTGATCGGGATCGAATTGCACAGAAGCATAACATCATCGCCTTTGAGACAGAAGGCGCTGGGGTCTGGGACGAATTGCCTTGCATCATTGTCAAAGGCGTATCTACTTATGGAGATGGTCATGAAATGGGCGATTCAGAGGCCTGGCAAAACTTCGCCGCCGCAACAGCCGCATGTGCCGCAAGAGGTTTAATCAGTCGCTACCCTCAGACTGACAAGTCGCTCGTCGTGGAGCCTGAGAACCAGATGGATATAGTTTTCAGGAGCCAGGCAGATTTAACTTGTCTCAGGGACTTGTACATCACCAGCCCACCAAACGACAAGATTCGTATTGAACAAACCAAAGGCGGTTTACTAACAGATGCTTACGTTTGGATTTTAAAAAATGATTCGTACAAACAGTGGATTGAAGACGCAAACACATGTCTCTTATGGATAAGAGGCGACCCTGGAAAAGGAAAGACAATGCTGCTATGCGGTATCATTGACCAACTGCAGCAATCGGAGCTTTCCGGAAACCTATACTACTTTTTCTGCCAGGCAACGGATTCTCGTCTCAATGACGCATCTTCAGTTTTACGTGGACTCCTCCATACCCTTATTTCTAGACAACCGTCTTTGATATCCTACGTCAGGAAAAAATATGACAAATCAGGCAAAACCATTTTCGAAGATTCAAATTCATGGGTCGTGCTATCACAGATCTTTTTCAATATACTTGGGGATCCCTCTATAAAGGGCCTGACCTTCCTTATCGATGCTCTAGATGAGTGCACGAAAGATTCATCAAAGCTTCTAAAGTTAATAAGGCAAACCTCATCATCTTTACAAGCCAAATGGCTTGTCTCAAGTCGTAATGAGGCAAGTATTCAAGATGTGCTACTACACGCCGAGAATCAATCAATTGTTAGTCTTGAGATCAACTCAGAATCTGTATCGGCCGCTATAAAAACCTACATCGACTATAAAGTGGAAATTTTATCCAATGAAAAAGGATATCAGCAGGGCATGAGAAACTCAATACAAGAATATCTTACCAAGAACGCAGATGGCACGTTTCTTTGGGTTGCTTTAGTCTGTGAGATGCTGGAAAAGGCTCCATCTTTTGACCCCAGTCCAGAGTCAGCCAGGTACCCTCGGGGACTTGATAACCTTTATGATCGTATGATGGTCAAAGTTTGCAGCAATGAGTCAGACTGGGGCAGGCGAATCCTATCCATCAATACTGTTGCACGGCGGCCGCTCAGAATACAGGAGCTGGAGACATTGACTTTCTATCCTGCCAATGTGAAGGTCACAATTGAACTGTTGGAGAAACGTTGGGAAGAAGCTCTGGGCTATTGTGGAAATTTTCTAACGCAGAGAAAAGGCGTCGTATATTTCATCCACCAATCTGCCAAGGATTTTATTCTCAACAAGGCCTCTTGTCAACTGTTTCGCGACGGTATGGAACATACTCACAAGCACATATTCAAGCTCTCCATCTCTGTAATGATGACCGCCTTGAAACGAGACATCTATGGTCTATCTAAACCAGGATTCTTAATCTGTGATCTAGCTAGTCAGCACGTTCCAAGTCCTGACCCACTAGCTCCAGTCGGATACTGCTGTGTCTATTGGATCGATCATCTTGAGAAATCAATCTCGCAGTCTGGTGACAGTGAAGATACAGAAAGCCTATACACTTTCTTCTGTGAGAAGTTTATTTACTGGCTAGAGGCCTTGAGTCTACTTCGAAGCATGTACCAAGGAACACTTGGAATACAAAAGTTGGAGAAGCTATTGGTGAGTTCATTCAATGTCAAAGGTAACGCTCGTATTAACAAAGTCATTAGGCGAATGCAAAGGGGCATGAGTTGAAAGAACGGATCTGGGATGCTCGCCGGTTTATCCAGATGTTTGGCAAAGTTATAGGAGATGCTCCTTTACAAGCCTACATATCAGCATTGCTCTTTAGTCCAGCCGAAAGCATCACTCGCAAACAATTTTACTCGGAAGCCCCGCGTTGGATTCAATCATGGCCCAATGATGTCACAAATTGGACTTCGTGTACACAGAAGCTTGAGGGAATGTCAGGGGGCAGGTATGGATCCTTGACCATTTCTGCTTGCGGTACTTGGCTAGCGGCCTGTATTGAATATCACCAAAAAATCTTGATTTGGGACATTAAATCGGGAAGACCACTATGCAGCCTTGAATCAAAAGAGGGTCTCAGAGGGAGAAAAGGCAATTGGTTCAAGTTTTCTCCACGGAACGACAACGAGTTGGCAATCCTAAATAGTGACCAAACCCTGCTGACCTTCTGGGACATCACCACAAATGAACCTGTACGACAAATTGAACTCCCGAGGCAATCTGGAACATGGCACTTGTCCTTTCTGCCATCCGCGCCTGACATTGTCGGTATATCCATTGGCGACGACGATGAAAACTACTCTGTTGCATTCTTGAACACTCAAAGACAAGAGAAACTCCGCATCAAAGCTTTGAATTTACCCCATTTACCAGGCAGAGCCTACGTGCATGCAATTGCATTCTCACCCGCCAACAGCGGCGTACTCGGCTTCGCCTTTCAGGACAAGGTAATGATTGTCTATGACATTGGTACAGACACTGCTGTTCGTGCTTTACCTTTAGATCTGGTCATATCTATTGCGAGCTCCCCAGATGGCAAATACATGGCTGTCCTCTCTAAGAACAGGCCTTTCATTAGCAGTGAAGCTACTGTCTCGTGTACTCTACTTGATTGTGTGACGGGTGCCGTTTCATTCAAGTTTACAGTATCCACCAGCGTCTATGGGAGCCTAAATTTTTCACCGGATGGACGGCTGCTGGGGGTTGGCATCGATGGCAACGTCGAGATTTGGGACATGGCGTCGCACCAATGCGTACAAAAGATCGGAAAGATCTCCGGTTCTTTTTATTTCTCCCCCATGGAGAATAGCAAACTCTTTTGCGGCTCCTACGGATCCATTGACGTAATAGAAATTGGCCAGCACGAGATCATGTCTCCGCCAAACACACCTATTTCCCCTTCTCCGGTGAAGATTTCACCTGATGGGAGACTGGTGGTATGCCGGAATTTCAACGTACTGAAAATCTGGGATACTGACTCAGGGGAACATTTATTTGATATTTGTGCTAAAACCAATGACATGTATCGCTCTTTTCAGTTTTCACATGATTCATCAAAATTGGCTTTGGCGTCAGACTCCTTTTTGGAAGTGTGGGATATCTCTTCTCAAAAGGCAAGACAAGTCTATTCAGAGCATAAACTCAGCTCTCTAGGACTGATAAAGCAAATGACCTTTTCACCCAATTGTCAATATTTGGCTATTGAAGAGACATTGTTATGGGGATGTGGGGATGCCACTTCTATCATGATATTGGATATGAACTCAGAAAATCGTCCTGTCCAATTTAGAACAGCCACCGTTCGTCCTATAATCGATGCTTTTATCGCATTCTCTCCGGATAGTAAGCAACTAGCAGCGTGTCTTACACTTGGATGCACAGGAGCACATTCAACCGGAATTGAAGTTTGGGATATTGCCTCTGCTTCTACTGCACGTATATTGATTTTTGCTGATACTTATTTCAGAGACCATTTAAGCCCGCAACTCCAACACCTCTGTACTTCTAATTGTATATGCAATCTGAAATACCCTTATTTCAACCCCAACAAGATGAGTTTTACCGATAACAACCACTTATCACTCATCTTTGAAGGGCGGTCGAAAGAACGGTTGAACCCAAGTTTCAAGATGAAACTTATACTGACAATCAAGCAAAACACAAATCTTGAAACCGAAAACCTGACCAAAAGTCCACACGCCGGAGAAGAATCTAGCAATATAGTACATCTTCTAGATTCTTGGATTACATTAAATGGAGAGAGAGTCGTATGGCTTCCGCCCGAATATCGACCTGCCAACGATGAGTACAGCTGGGACACGAGAAGTAACTGCATCGCAATATCAAATTCATTACGGCCACTTTCTATCATGAAATTCGATTGCCGTGTTTGGCCACGGCAAGTGGCTCTCCCAAGCCGAGAAGAGCGACAGCACACTTCCAGTGTAACCCAACGGCCCAAGCGTTCACGTTCGAGCCAACTTGATGAAAATGAGGAGTTTCTCGTTCTACACTTCGATATGGGACTGCCAAATGGGAAAGAGGGAGGCAGATATTACGAAGGGCTGGAGATTGATGGAGAAGAGTCCTTCGTTGATGGAGAAGAGCCCCTCGTCGATGATTTGTTAAGCTTTATTCAGCCGATTCCGGACGACTTTTGGCGATAGTTATTGTTCATTGGGGCTGATATATGCTTCAGTGTGGCAAAGCTGAAAGTTTTCATCATTTGCGAAGAATCCCTGTCTGCAGCTGGCTTATGACATTATGTCCTACGGATTTGTCTATTTCAAGGCCGTTGGCCGAGGTGCATATAAGCTGGGGCCTCGGAATAATGGACACGGTGCAAACGTCCTACTATCAAGTCACAAGAGAGATTTACATGTATCATAAAGCGGATAGAGATTATTATAAACCTTACCCGAAAATAGATAGCCATTACAATGGGCCATAGAGGTACTGGGTGCACAGGAGGCAATGTTTATCTACGCTGCTATTTATAGATGGCAAATCTATAGAGGTTAAGAGTTAACCAGCTGTGGAGTCTTGCCATGTACGAAATGATGAGTACCCTCTCAATTTCGGCCGAAGCTGATTTGTAACCATCCCATCAAACGCAATGGTCATTTCTATTTCAAGAGGAGACAAGATTAGTGCCAGCTAAATTATCAATTCCGATCATCTTTCCTCCTAGGCACTTCAAGCTGCTTACAAATGAATCAGCTGAAATCTGACTAGGAGGCATAGCTTACAGCGGGACGCATCGTATAAAAACTATGAAAAGGCGATTAGTTTGGAGATGGCTGTCAATTGCCGGTTTATCTTTATCTTGACTGTAGAGAGATGCTGGGATAATCTAGCTCTGAACCGCAAATACTTCTCTAGTATTAATAACATGCTCAATCTTCAGAATCTCATTACAAATAACAAAATGATGAAAGCCATCAGCGTGAAGATGTTTGTCTTGATAAAAGCTGCAAGTCTCCAATGCCCTCTAGTTGTAAGATAGTCACATCACTTTACTATCTACCCAGCATGGCAGTCTTCAAAACTCTCAATAAGATTGTCTTCTATCTCGCCTTGGCCCAATTTTGGCACAGCTTGGTAGGAGCCCAAATCCTCAAACAGTCATGCATCAACGACTCATGCAGCGCCAAGCGCATCACAATCTCCAACCCTCCGATCAATCTATGGGACGCCAACGTCATCACCGCATTCAACGACTTCATGCTCAGCCTACAAGATCAAAACGACACCAAAGTCGTAATCTTCAACAGCGACAGCCCCGATTTCTGGGCCTCTACTCTTGATTTCAACCTCTTTTCACCAAATGGAATTCCAGGACGCAATGCCTCTGCCCTCGTGGACACATACTTTGCCAATCTGGACCTCCTCTTGACAACGCCCGTCATCTTTATCGGCGAAACAAACGGCCGAGCCTGGGGCGCTGGAGATGAACATCTGCTCAGGATGGACCTGAGATTTGCCGGCCCACAGGCTCAGTTCGGCGCCCCTGAAGCAGCCGTCGGAGTGATCCACGTCGGAGGTCTCCAACAGCTAGTAAGACTCATTGGCCCTGGACGTTCTGCCGAGTATCTGCTCGCTGCCGCACAAGTCAGCGCTTCTGAAGCAGCCCGTGTAGGCTGGGTCAACTCTGTACATCCTACAGCCGAGGCTCTCCAGCAACATGTCGACAGCGTAGCGACGAGAATTGCACTCTTTCCCATCGAAGCCCTCCGGGCCACTAAGGCTAGCATTGCGGAACAAGCTCCCCCCAAGACGGCCTTTGAGAACGACCTTGCTCGGTTCAATCAGCTGGCATCGTTGCCACAGGCGTTGGACAACTTGACCAGCGTTCTCCGGCTATCTCAGAACGAATCCAGATCATGGGAAGAGAATCTCAACAATAATATTGTCCGGCAGCTTTATTAAGTGCTGAAACTTATCCATAATATTAATCAACTAGCTATGTGACTGGCCCCTAGCAAGATTATCGGTGGGGTAGCCGCTCACGAGTAGATCGGGGGGAGGACGTTCAGACTATATTTGGAGAAACTCTACGAAGGAGCAACTTGTGTAGAAGCAGAGCGTTTATAGTTTGTGAAGAGTTACAGCACCCAAATTTCTGTTTAGTTTATACATCTGGTCTCACCGAAGTCGAGCCATAATAGGTTAACGAGAGAAGCTGTGCATTGCACTTTCACCTTGATTACGGGAGAACCTCTGTTGCACCATACCCCTTGCTACCATTAGATATGAAGATGCCGTTTGAGAGAAAAGAAAAGGTTGTTCATCAGTTGTTAAACATTTTGACCGGTCCATAAGAGATGGGTCTCAATCTCCAAGTATTCTACTTCAGCTCCTGTACTCGAGCCAATATAGATCGCACAAGCATACCTATAGATCCAATGGTATCTCTATCTCAATTGAGTTATATACAGTTCCTAGCTAGTGACCAGCTAAGAGAGGCCATTGCAATATAGGCAAAAGAGTAAAATTCATGTTACAGCGTATAAGACGTTTCAATCACCCAATGGTCTGACTTTTAGCAGCCAACTATACTTCGGTAGTTGTTTTTAAGTGGGAGGAAGCAAGTTATCCACACCACTGCGATGAGCTTCCTGCTTCATGCCACCATGACAACGTCGTAGTATTCTAAGCTTTAACAGCATGTTGTATCATGTGCTATTGCGCAGCTAGAATCGGGAGATTAGATGGAAGTCATTCCCTTTGCAGGGGAACTAATACAACGATTATTAGAAATTCCGTTGGCATGGGGGCTGTAGTGGCACATGACTTACAATTTATCTTGTCCTCTGGCGTTGCTGTTTCGGTTTGTAGAGTTCTTACCTGCGATAATCAGCGCAATAGGCATCGCTAGAATGGTACAATTGTAGATTAGCGAGGGAGGAAAGACAACAGACTACATGCTTTATATACAAGCAAGTTTCTTCGATGACAAGAGGTGTTCTTGAATCGATCACGACTCAAAAATCCTGTAATCTCTTTCCCTTGGTGAGAGCACCCTAACTCTCTTGACCCCGTCTGACTGCATCTCGGCCTTCCGCTTCTGCGTCTTCTGGTCCTCCATCTCATGTTTCATTGTCTGGACTAAATGCCAGGCATCGCTTGCAAGAGCTTCGGCCACGGTTGGTCTATCTTGTGGCTCCCAAGCCAACATTTTGTGCAAAAGATCGATAAATGGCGTCAACTTAGAAAGCCTTTTCACTTGATCCTGAAGCCACTTGTGGTTATCTTTTGTGGCGATTTTCCAATTAGGTGGTTTTCCAAACGCATATATCCATGAAGAGGCTATTGCCCAGATGTCGAGTTTTGTCCCGTCCAGGTCTGTTGTTGCCCCCCCGTTCTGCCATACCTCAGGTGCGACACAGATATTCGCCCCACTAGACACCATCTTCTCTATCCGCCTCATGGAGAGGGATAGGACGACTTTTTGTGTCGAAAGAGTTTCAGAGTCCAGGCGTAATTCGTCACCCATAATGAGGAGGGACCCAGGCTGAATGTTCCCATGGACGAGTTGTTGGTTATGCAGCTCGGCAAGGGCTGATAGCGTCTGATGTAGATAGAGAAGGCGCTTATCAACTTCCAACTTAGACCAAGGAAGGTCCATGAAGTTGTATGAGGCCAGCGGCATCGAATAATAGGTATAACGACACTCCGCGTGTCGATTAGAACCCTGCAAATGAAAAAAGCATGGAGGAGAAGTCTGGTGATCGCACCAGACATCGATAATGCCAAGTATCCCGTTCTTTTGCTTGTCTTTAATCTGGAGGGCCATCTGCAGCTGATTTATAATTGTGTCTTTATTGCGCAGTTTCTTGATAGCAACAGGTTGTCCAGTGTAAATGTTGACGCCGGTGGTAATCTCAGTTGTCGGAATTTGCTGATGAAGCCATATGTTCCATCTGGTTCTGGTATATGGAAGACCCATTGGGATAAAGTTAAACAGACGCGAACGGACTAGACCGTGATATTCACTTTTTAATTTTTCATTCATATGCGTAATAAACCTGTGGTTAGTCTCCGGACTTTGTGCGTTGAACTTTATAAGAAAGCGGTATGGGCCTATACGAATGTAGTTGCGCTCTCTCCGCAAAACACACGTTGTGCTGTTGCCCCATTCATCTAGGCGAAGTTCCAGGTCATTATCGTGCATGTCGCCTTGCTCGTAGATGATTGGTCGATCACAGAGTGCTTTGAGCATGAGTACACCTGTGTTCTGGTGAAGGTAGATACTGGCATGAACGTCTTTGATGTATTTACGAACAGCCTTTGAAGCTGGTGTTGCGCCGGGAGGGCAAAGAAGCACGGGCGGATCGTCACGACGCAGCCCTTTGTCCAGCATAACTGGCGGTGTGCCTGCACCAATCTCCCATCCTAAATGATTCGAGCCCAAGCCACCGTCGCCGGAATTAGGATCATCGGCTAATAAGGGCAGTGATAATTGAAATCCGATGGAATTTTCGTCACTGGCAAGATTTGGCGGTGACGCCTTCGCCTGGATGAGCTCAAACAGGAGAGTGGCGGCGTCGTTGGCAGCAGAAAAAGTGATGAAAGGGATATCACGTATTGATAGAGTGGCAGTGACCGCCATTGTGCAGTTGTCTATTATGAGGACGTGATCTTATAGTAGATACCTCCTATACAGAGCAGCCTTGCCTTTTGGGCATCCGCGCTTCGAGCGGGCGGTTCTCAGACACGTCAACGCGGGTCAATCACGTGGTCACGTGCTGTACAACTCCGCATCAGGCAACCTCCCTGGCCTCTATATGCGCCTCGACTCTAGCAAAACAACAGGCCACTATCATCATAATAGTAGCCATAAAACTCTATTCAATTTCGCAACTCTCTGCTTTTTGGAAAATGGCCAAGAGAAAATCTATTGCCAGTCCAGCGTTGCCACGCAAGAGGACGAAACTGGACCAGCCGACCGAAACGCCCAGTCTTCAATCACTCGATACTGATGCAACGGCTTCCTCTTCTTCTTCGCCATCTCCGTCACCTCCGCCACGACCCCTAAAACGCAAGAGACCAGTTGACAACTCGATTGACAGCCAAGATGAGTCGGATACAAGCACCAGCACGAAACGGGCCAAGACAGAGAGTCCGAGAGAGCCATCGCCTGATTTCGATTACGGGGAGATTCTGTTGCATGACGATTATCCAGAAGCACAAGCGCACATCTACTGGGAGCCAACGGACTTGACCGAGGAGGCGAGGCGGTGGAGGGAAATAGCCACACTCTACTCCCAGGGCTATGTGGGTGGCTGCTCGTGTGGAAAAATGCACATGGCTATTGGCCGGAAATCGTGGCATTACCCAGGTCAAGAACCAGAACTGGATGATGAACCAGGCCAACCATTTCCAGAACAAGACGAAGCATACGCACAATCAGCTTCTACATCTGCATACCGAAGTCGAGGCCGACAGCCGCTGCTCAGCCCAGAGCTTTCCGACGATGAGATTGATGCTGGCAACAATCAATCCAGTTCTGCGCCCATCGATGTCTCTACTCCGCGGGAACCATCGAATACACCAGACTTGCCAGAGCCCGTTGTTCCGGAAATACCAGATGTTTCCCCCAACCCTTCGCTCACCATTGCGCCTACGGTAAACGTTGGTCGAGTCTCGCGTCAACGCAACGTGAAAAAGTCAACCCCGCGACACAAAACACCCAGGAAGAACAAAGACAAGACAAGCAAAGGAAAGAAAGACAAGACTGTCGAGCAACAGCCTCGGAACCGGAAACGAGAGGCCACAAACGCGGCCAAAGAGTCTGCTGCCTTAAGACGGTCGTCGAGGAGAAATGCCCAAGCCCAGCTCTGGTTCTTGGATGACAGGGGCAAGGCTTGCGAAGCAGCAGTATCTTTAACATGAAAACCATACGCTGAGGGAGACTTTAAGACTTGAGTACCAGTTGGGTTAGAGGAGGGCATACCCGTTAACCTGGCAGGGCCGGGGGCAGCGGGCAGCTCATTCCTCTAACATGAACTGACTACCTCTTTAGGTCTTTGTTTGATGCCACTTACATGACGCCTATCTAGACATGGTCGCTAATCTGACAGGGTCGGAGGCAGCGGCGCAGTCTGAAGGTTGATTTTAGGTCTGGCATCACAAGGTAAAGGGGTTTCAAAGGCATGGTCGTTAATCTGGCAGGGCTGGAGGCAGCGGCGAAGCCTTTAAAGGGCTCAAGTCTAAAGCTCTTTGATATGGTACTGAGCTTTTTTTTCTTTTTCTTTTTTGGTTTTTTCATTATTTCTTTTTCTATCATGAGGATCTATATACCCCGGGAAAGCGCAGGAGTTGGTAGGCGAAATCTGTTTAATAGCTACATATATCCCCGTTGGTCACTCAAAGCGAAACCAAGTGGTGAATGAATTCAACCTTTCTTTTTCCTTCTCTGTGTAAAAGCACATTGAGAAGGTAGGTACACAAAAACAGGCTTGTACAGTCGTCTATTGGTTCCATTTTTGGTGACATACTCTATGGCGTCCCCTTACAAAAGCTAAGCATGGGCAGTTCTTGTGCCAAGGATAGAACAAGAACTGTGACGATATAGACTATAGGTAGTCGTGCCGACAATTGTAGCGTTCACTATTCTTGTCACAAGAGCCTAGATTACTAGATTCCTAGATTTTTTAACTGAGCCGGCTACTTTACGATTAGCTGTGACGTATCAATGGCAAAGTACTGTATTCAAAGATTTGAGTGAACCTTAGAATCTTAGACATAGCTGTATGTGACAGAAGCACACAGGTCACAAGTGAAATACAAAACAGTCAACAAGACATAGCAAATCTCGGACAACATAGCTTTTACTCATGTTTTTATTCTTCAATTTTTTTCTCTAAATGTTTTCCAATTCTTTCTTCTATTGAATCAGCATTTCGCTTACATGGATTGTTCAGTTCCATACATGATATTTCCCCGCTCGACGCCAAATAAATGATACTAGCACAAATGGGCGCGCAAGCACCAGACATCTCGGGAAATCCATCCAAAGTCTACGATTCATTCTACTCTCTATGTATAATTATCTTTTTTTACATTTTATGCACGATTTTTTTGGTTTTTCTTTCTTCTCATAACTTCCCTGGTTTTTTTCCGAAGAAGGCGCCCTGGGATGGATGGTATGCCAGCTGCTGCTGCTTTGTTTGACAAATGTCAATGTTGCTATGCGTAGAGAGTAGTAAAAGACCGGAGCAAAGCACAGTGCCGCGAGGCCTGGCTACGTAGCTCGGTATGCGTGGCATGGCCCGCAGATGAAATGTGAAATCTCCCGGTTCCAAATCTTGACCGCCCAGAGATCTTAAGAGATCAATCGCATAGGTCGAGCAGGGATGGATAGCTCAGTTGGATCGGTCAAGGAAATGTGGGAGAGTATATATTTTGGCAAAAGGGGGATGCAAGATGAAGAAAATGGCTACACCTCTTCCTTCCCATGAAGTGAACTTCAGTTGGAAGTATGTCTCGCGGTCAAAACAAATGTAAATTGACATCTCAAGAGACGACTGGTGTGCTCGTGAGGCAAGCAAGGGGGTAAAGAGAGGGAGGGAGAGAATGTAAAAGAAAGATAAAATCAACCCAGACCAAATGACCATGAAATCTCAACTGCCCCAGCAGATTCGCCCGTTCCCGTTTACTCCCCTTATCAGCACTAAAAATAATAACTTCGCGGTGATTCATGGCTGATCCAACGAAAACAAATAGCAGCTCTCCGTCAAGGCTCGTACTTAGACGTATTGGAACAGCGCGCTAATGGATTCTCCGTGGTGGACACGGCGGATAGCCTCAGCAAACACGGGCGAGATATCAAGCACTTCCAATTTGGGGCACAGACGACGATGCTCTTCCTGCGGGACCGAGTTGGTCACGATGATGCTATCAATCGCAGAGGCATTGAGGCGGGCAATGGCATCGCCACTGAAGACGCCGTGGGTGACGAGAGCGTAAACTCTAGTTGCGCCCTCTCGCTTCAGCAACTTAGCAGCGCGAGTGATGGTATTGGCCGTATCGGCAAGATCGTCGACCAAGATACAGACACGGTTGGCAATGTCACCAACAAGCATCATGCTGGCATTGCGATGGTTTGTAAACTTGATGGGACGACGTTCCTAAATGGTATAAAACATGAGTTTCGATCAAGCAGGTTGTGGGGTAGTATTACCTTGTGAATCAGTGCAAAGTCCATGTTGAGGCTATCTGCAATGGCAGTAGCTCGCTTTGCACCACCGGCGTCGGGCGAGACGATGACGGCTTCTTTGTAGTCGGGTATATGGGTCTGGATATAGTTTTGGATAAGGAATTTACCATAGAGATTATCGACGGGAATGTCGAAAAATCCTTGGTACTGAGGGTCGTGGAGGTCCATTGTAATGATGTGATCAGCGCCAGCGCAAGTAAGAAGATCAGCAACAAGAGTGCCAGCCTGGGCAACCCATTGCTTGTACCCGGGTTTGGGTTGGAACCCCTTGATGTTGGTAGGGTTCTCGTAATCGTGAGTCGTAAAGCTTCGTTGTGAGATATCGGGGTATACTCCATGGCCATTGGAGGAGCCGACGCTCGAAATGGTATCCGATCGCTTTGGCAATGAGTCGCCGTTGACTTCTCGAGGGCTGTTCTCAGCGATGGAGCTCTTGGAGAGCTTTTCTGTAAGGCCGTTGACGCCGTTTGTGAGTCCGGCACTTCGTGGTCCGCCCGGCCGCGGTGTGGGAGGGACGCTTTCGAAGGTGTAGTCCTTCTTGGATGATGATTCGGACGACCTGGATAGAGGGGCGCCAGCTTTATTATATGGCCAGTCAGGCTGCCTCGAGTAGGGGAATAGAGGCACCACGGCGGTCACTCGCTTGGCGGAGCCAATTTTGCATGCCGAAATCATGATGCAAAGGTCGATGAGGTTGTCGTTGACATTACCAGAGCCAGACTGGATAATGTAGACGTCCTTGCCACGGACAGAGTCCTTGATCTCGCAACGGCTCTCGCCACCAGAGAACTTGGAGAGAATGCGATCGCAGGCCGGGATGCCCAGGAAGTTGCAGACATTCTCTGTCATTTGGGGGTGGGAGTTGCCTCCCAGGACGACAATGTTTCGAACCATTGCGGCGGTGTCGAGGACGAGCAATCAAGAGGAGACCGTCGAAGAGGAGGAGGAGTCTCCAATTGAGGATTGCGCAATGAGCTGCAGATCCTGCGGTTTGGAGGTGTCGCGTGAGGGCTTGAGCAGCAACTCGTTTTTTCCTGCTAGACCCGCTGTCTGGCAAGTGGGGAGCAAGAAGAAGGGCGACGTCAGATAGCCAGGACCGTGGTTCTTTGCCGATTGCGGCCGAAGTTGGAGATGCACCGGGGGGATCTCAAAAGAGCGCACAAATCAGCAACGGTGATGACGGTGAGGCCACAAAGGCAGCAGCAGCAAAAGAGGCCGGAGAGTAATGCTAGAGCAGCATGGTGACAAGATAAACAAGAGAGAAGAAGGAACTAAAAGAGAAGAGGATGAGAAGAAGAATAAAACTGGAGGTGAGGAGCGAGGCTCTGAGTCAGGACGCCGATTCGACGACTAGCAGGAGGGCGGAACTCAAAAAAAGAAAAATTTCTATTGCGCATTGGCAAAAAAAAATCATTAGCTGCATCTCCGCTGCCGAAACGTGCATGAGTGGGGTCTGGTACAGCGAGATGCAGTTCGCCCAGGGCGGGCTGCAGGGCCGTTACAGGGCAAAACGTGCTGTAAATGAAACAGTGTCAGCGTCTTTCCCCGCTGCCGCTGCCTGGGGACCCCTCCTCTTGTACTGCAGGTACTTGCTGTTCGACGGCGCACTGTATATGATACTGTACGGCTAGCCGTCCAATACAGATCAACCAGGTACCCATTACGGAATACGTTATGAATAGACCCGTGCATGTGAAAGTATAGAGTACTAGACAAGAATTGGGGAAGGGTATTTGGATTTTCTGGAGACGCCGCAATAATTGGAGTACAGTGAGTGGCTCAAACTCCGTGGCGGCCAGAAAGTGGAAACACAATCTTGTAGCTAGGTAATTCGTATGATGGTTCAATGGTGGTTGTATTTTCTCCAGCCGCTTCATAGCTTGATGATCCAGTGAATGAGAATAATTCGATTAGTTCTCAACAAGTTAGCTTTGAATGGTACAAGCTTTGGTGTAATTTAGGGCAACTACTTACATTTTGAGCAGCTACAATACCAGTGGCCGAATCACGGAGTTGAAGCAACAATCCTCGCTGGCCGAGTAGCCGAAAGGCGGAAGAGAGCCCGGTTGCTAGGCAATGTTGGAATTGCGGCTTGAAGACACTTTCGGCCGCCACGGAAAGGTGCAAGTCATTGCTCACAAGTACAGCGTGTAGAATCCTACCTGTACCCAGTCGTGACGTGCTAAGCCATCAAGGTCGAGAATTGCGCAATCGCTGCTCCAGTCATCATCAAAACCATTCGTCTCATCGGTGTGCAAGAGACTCTGCTGTTGGCTGAGCACCAAGAGAATCCGATATGCACCGGAACCAGAGAGTGCTTTGACACGCACTTATTGGTAGCGGCTGGCTTTGGATAACTATACCATTCCTCAAGAGGAAGTAATTAACATGGACAATACAGTAAGGGTTTAGCACACAATTCAAGCTCATGAGGCATTTGCCGTCCTATTCTTTCCAAGGGTCTGCCATGTATAGCAATTGCCAGTCTCCCATACTCTGTCTTGGCTGAGGTTGAGCATACAGAGAAGCATGGCAACACTTGCTGTGGTGTTGGATATTGGATGCAAAGCTATCAAGTGCTCAGCCCCGATCGTTTCTCTCCTATTCACTCACAGCGTCTGACTTGAACAATTCATTACGTAGCGATGAGTTGTCCCATCTATTTTTCGCTCAACTCCATCACCGCTAGTTTTCAATGCCTGCCTGCATGTGATAATCCATGTCCAGCAAATACTAACGTCTTGGCTCCCCAACTTTCCAAGCCCTGCATATTGGATGCATGTACCTATTGTTGAAGTGCAATTTGGTAATTTACACTGTACGAGAACCGCTAGTGCACCAGCAACGCAGCAAATTTCTAGCGGCGCGTGTCTGGCGGTCAACTAGAGCCAAAAAGTAGGAGGGGCAATTAGCGCTGCTCTGATTGGGCTGCTTGTTTTCCAGCAGAAAAATGCTGGCTTCCAAGCTTTTCTTGAATCACATGGCGATTCGATTTGTGTATTAGCGATATACGGGCTGAGACGTCTTTTTGTTTACTTGTAATCGAAAAAGGAAACATACATCATCCCATACAAGGGCTATTATCACCTCGAAAACGGCCATCGGCTCTTCGGGGTTGTGGCACCTTAGCTTTCGTCTTTCCTGCAACACATACTTATCAGCAAAATGAAGGTCATCGAGGCTCAGAATGCTGTACTCACTAATTATGAGGTCCTTCAGCATCTGTCCCAGCAAAAGAACCTCTACAAGCTCAGAAAACGACGTGGCCCTCCTAATCTAGAGACGGTCGTGAGAGAGGTTAGTCAAGATGTAATTTTGGAGATTAAGGCCCTTGATGACTGATGATTCATAGCTCATTCAATATCTACAATCATATCCCAACCCTCTAAGCCAGAAGCCCAGCGCATACACTCCCAACTGCATCTCTCAACTACTTGAACGCCTAAGCCCATATGAGCTCTCCAAGGGCGAAGTCGTGATGATTCTCAACCTCCGGCCGGCTTCCGTGGCAGCGCTAAACACAGTCATTGAAGAGATGGCGGAGCGCTTCAACGATGAGCAGCAGGAGGAGATGGTCAACATCATCCTGGAGGTTTTGGGCCAGTTTGAGGCATCAGCCAATGCAAATGGCAATGAAGACGATGCCGGGGAGGATACAAATGCTTGATGAGGCCAATATCTACGACTACAGCTACCACCACCAAGTTCTTCTTATATGGGCACATGAGCAAACAATAACTCGCTTTGCTATCTTAAAGTCACGCTAAAGACGACGCTGACCGACACACCTCACATTATCGTACAACCACCCTCGCTCTGTCCTCCTGTCTCTGTCGTCGTCGCAATGGCCGTCTTGCAGATATCCTCAAAGGCCGGTCTGATCAACTCTCCCGTTACTGCCGAGCATTCGACGTAACGATCTGCCCTCATCTCCTGGGCCATCCGATAGGCGTCTTGCGGATATATAATGCCATTCGGGTCATCTTCAGACCGCAAGTCTCTTTTGAGGCCCATTATCACCACTGGCAAGGAATCTCTGCGCGAAAAGGCCTGTTTGACTTCGTTGATCCACTAATGGCAATTACATGATTTGTAAATATCAAATTTCTCCTGTTGAGAAGATAGGAAATGAATAAAACAAATAGATAGTAAAATCTTGCAATACTAACATATCTTTTCATATTGATGAGACTCAGGCGCTGGCTGATATCGTAGCAGATGATAATGACATCCGGATCCAGCAGCCGCCAGTTTTCCGGGCTGGAAGTATCGTAAAACTCAAATCGATATCTGTCTGATGACATGTTGACTGAAAATGTGTATGGCTGGTCAATGTCACGTAGGAGCGGTATCGGATTGATGTCGTCTCCTGCCTTCACTCTCCTGCATCACGAAGTCCGTCAGTGAAATACCCACTACCCTACTATATGAAACGCCTTTACGCACGAGAGAAACGTCGTTTTGCCGCATTTTTCATCTCCCACGAGAAGCAGTCTGACAACTGAGTCTTCCATTTTCCTTGCAAGAGTCTTTGCGACTTAATTGATGAAAGGAAAAAGGGAAAGGCGGCATTGGGATCAGTTGCAATGAAGCAGATAGAGACGCATATGCGCTCAGTAATAGCGTTGACATTCTAAGTGGCGCTTCTTATCGCGCTAAGCCACAATCTTCGTTGTATCAAGCCACACACTCGTTGACCCAAAAAAGTAAGTAGCCCACACTTCATTGAATCTAACGAAGAAAAACCCCAAACAATTTGAAAAGAAGACTTCTTATTTTTGATATGGAAATATCACAGGCTCTTATATTCACATTTATTACATGCGACCTTTCCATCCGGGGAGTTTAGGCCGCAAAATTTGTGGAGGTGCCATAAAAAGTTGGCCTGGTAGGGCCAGAGAAGGATTTCACTGCTGCTTCTCAACCGTCAACAATCTGGAACTGGTTCGTGGGAGGAGAGCCAAGATGGCGGACCAGGGGAACTACAACAACTGGACCAAAGCTGGTCTAATCCAGCGGGTAAAGGAGCTGGAGAAGGAGTTGAGAGCTGCATCATCATCTGCACAGATTTCAGCATCAAACAATGAGATCCCCCAAGCGGCACCCGAACAAAAAGGAGATGAAGAGTTATCCCAGCCGGTCAAAAAACCTAAAGCGAAGAAAAAGATGGACCCGTCCAAATATTCTACCCGCTTCATCGCCCTGAAGCTGGCATATCTGGGCAAAAACTTTGGCGGCTTCGAGTTCCAGGCTCAGGGCAACCAGCCGTCCATCGAGGAGGAGTTATGGAATGCCCTCACCAAGGCATGCCTCATCTTCCCGGAAGACGAGAATGTGGTGAACTTTGACTGCTGCGAGTATTCCAAGTGTGGGCGGACAGATCGCGGCGTCAGTGCCTTTGGACAAGTCATTGGGCTGAGAGTACGGAGTAACAGGCCGTTGCCTAAGAAGCAGGCCGAGGTCGATGAGGAGGCAGATTTGGTGGAGGAGGAAGGGCATGAGGTTGCTGGGGAAGAAGAGCAAGCCAAAAAGCAGAGCAAGCCAAAAGCACCTCCAAAACCATTTGACGATATCCGCGATGAGATCCCTTACCCCCATGTTCTCAATCGCCTGCTGCCCAAGGAAATCCGCATCCTGGGCTGGTGTCCGGCACCGCCTCCTGACTTCTCCGCCCGCTTCTCATGTCGAGAGCGCCAGTATAGATACTTCTTCACGCAGCCCGCCTTTGCCCCCACGCCATCCCTCATCGAAGACTCAGCCGTCGCAAAGAAGGGAGAGGAAGACAAAAAGCTCATGAAGCCAGGCTGGCTGGATATTGAAGCCATGCGCGACGCAGCAAAGCGTTACGAAGGCGAGCACGACTTCCGCAACCTCTGCAAGGTCGACCCGGCGAAGCAAATCACAAACTTCAAGAGACGCATGTTCGAGTCGGACATTGTCGAAGTCGAGGACGCAGCATCAGCTTTGCCGTATCTCAAAGCCGCTGGTTTCGCCCCCGAGAACATTGATCTCTCTTCCGGCGAGGCATACCCCAAAGTGTATTACTTCCACGTCCGCGGCTCGGCCTTCCTATGGCATCAAATTCGCCACATGGTGGCCGTGCTCTTCCTCGTCGGCCAGGGCCTTGAGAAGCCCTCCCTCATCAGCGAGCTGCTCGACACTGAGAAAAACCCACGCAGACCAAACTACGTCATGGCCGACGAGGTGCCCCTCGTGCTCTGGGACTGCATCTTCCCGACCGACCTCAACGACTCCATAGCGCCGCGACGAAAAGACGACGCTCTGAAATGGATATATGTCGGCGAGGATGGACCAAGTGGACGATTCGGCCAATTCGGCATCATGGACGACGCATGGCAGATGTGGCGTGGACGAAAGATGGACGAGATCCTCGCGGGCCAGCTGCTGCAGCACATTTCGCAGCAAGGAAACAATGGCACCACTGCCACGGCGGTAGGCAAAGCCGCACCCGGCATCGCGAATAGCACAAAGGTCTTTGAGGGAGGAAACAATGGGAGACTGAGCGGCAAGTATCCTGGCGTGATGAACATGAAGCTGCTGGAGTCGGCGGATGAGCAGAACGACAAGTATGCCAAGCGAAAGGGGTATGCGGACGCGGAGGACATGAGGGCGAAGAAAGGGATGAAGTCGAACAAGACGGAGGAGGGCGATGCCGTCATGGCTGATGAGTAGACGTAGAATGAAAAAGTAAAATACGTTGTATGGGGTATATATAGATTCTAATTCTAGGATACATATCTCTCAAAACAAAACAGGCCTGTCTTGTGCATATCTTCTTGGGATACGATTATTCCAAAGCCTCTCAATTCATTTCTCGTTAGCCACCACTCTACTATCCTCTCCCCTCCCCTCGTATAAACACTCCCTCACACCCCTCCACACCGTCTCGACAATCTTCCTCTTGGGCAACAAACCCGGAAACACCACCACGACATCCTCCTCCCCCTCCACCACCACAACGAGGTAATACCGCACCTCAAAGCCCCGAAACGCCTCGTTCACGAAGATATCCTGAATCTTCTCCGTCGGAATAAATCGCGTCGCCGCGCTGGCCAGATACGTCGTCGGGCTCTCGCTCGTCTGCACGCCCAGCCCGCGCAGCACCAGCAAACTCTCCTCCTTGTGCACCCGCAGGCTGAGCGCGTAAAAGACCGCCGCCGCAACGGGGACAAGCACGGGCAGTTTTATCGAAGCGGCAATACGAGCGAGGAGCTTGCCGCCGGGAGTATCCTGGAATGTATCGAGGAGGAATATTATGCGGTCGAGGGAGAGTAGCGGCGGGAGAGACGAAGGTGAAAAGAGCGTTGGTGCTGCGCCAAAGGAGCTACGCTCTTGGACCCATCGCGCATAGATGACGAGCAGCGTGATGAGGGAGAGAAATATTCGTAAGAAGAGGAGGAGGAGCCATAAGAGGCGCAGAGGCAGCGTCTGAGGCGGAAGAGTGGTGACGGTGTATTCGGCGGTTGTAGGAGAAGGGCGGCGGATGCGCAGACGAGGCGCCGTGGTGAGCATGGCTTAAGATGATGTATGAGTTTGTAGAAGTAGTTGTGGTTATGTAGTTGCAAATTGGCAAGCCATGTATCATTCAATTCACTTCGCTTCTATTCGTTGCTGGCGTAAATCAGAGGAGTAGCTTTCGGGCAGGAAGTCGTCTATGGAGGAGAGAAGACTGCAAATCCGGTAGTGCATATCATTCTATAAAGAGAGACAGCCAATTGCAATGGCTTTGAGCATTCGTGGACGGCATGAGTTGACGCATCTACAGCATCAAACCAATGCGCTGCCGTTGCTGTCGCGGTGTCAATGCCATTTTCTGGTGGTGATGGATGGCATGAAGTTGAAGCTCTACTGTAAATGGTATCGTAGCACATGTCTTACAGCTCCAGCACCAAGCTCCCCACCGGCCAAACAATTCCCCGCTCCACGCCTCTGCACCCTTTATAAGCCCAAATATGCTCCCCTGTTACCGGCTGTAATGGTCAAACGGTGAAGGCTCTCACTCAATACTCGCCTTTCCCACACCCACCCCCGTCAGATCCCCTCCGTTCGACGCCCAGCCCGAACGCCGCGGTGGCTGCACGCTCGCATGGGTAACCTGCGATTTTGCCGTGCTGCCCTAAGCAATGGAGATGACACTTGAGGGAGGTTTCACTCTGCAGAGGACTCTCCCCCGTCGCGTGGCGGGCTGGATTACGATCGCGGAGGGCGTGGGTTGGATGGGCGAGACGGAGAATGCCGACACCATTTTTTTGATTTTTCTTTCTTATCACTACAACTTCTATATCGTATAGTAAAAAAATACAATTGTATCAGGAGACTTTTCAATTTTCAGTTGAAATCATGTACAAGACGCAAAAACGCTGCAATGGAATTAAATGGCGGCAGTTGAACCCCATCCTCATCAGCAAAGTCCCACGCAGGTGCAAAGTGAGGCCATCACCACCGCCTACAGGGCTACCTAGATGGATGATACAAACGCTTTGCTCTCACGCATGGTGCATCATCACATTACGCATTAATAAAAAGGATCAAAATGCGCAAAATAGAAAGATATATCATTTTGCTTCAGCTACCTCACGCAATACAAAAAGAAGAATAAAAAAGCAAATACATAGTATTGCCGCGAGGCAGCATTATATAGAACGCTCAGTCTGTCCGGCACAGCCGCATCTCGTGTAGCACTTTATGCAATCTGTCTCGCATGTGCGTGTGAGCGCACGTTTTTTCTCTCTTCTTGTTCTTTTTTCCCCTTTCTCTTAGACGTCGCCGTCTTCCACCCTTTCGCACATGTTTGTTTTTGCTCCAAATCAATCCGTCATCAGTCATGAAGAAATAAAGTACTAAGTTTGAAGAAAGGGAAAAAGAAAAGTCTCCAAGCCAGGATATACATTGCCCCGTGCGCACATGTGAGAGTTTAGATCTCTCGCATGGCCATCTATCCAAAAAGAGAAAAAGAAGAGAAGCCATCCGATGCATATATCACAACATTTCAACGTCTTAGCCGAGAAACGGAGAAAAGGAAATTATCTGCTTAGAATTGCACGGATGCAACGAAGACAGTCGACATAGAGCAAACAGGGAGGAAGAAGAAGAAGGAGAGAAAGAAGAGTAACAGAAATGAAACAAATATAGAGATAGTCGTCACACTATTCCAGAAACCAAGTCCTTCCATATCACACCGGGTTTTTTTGCTTGCAACATGCCGCTAATAGAGCACTCGCATCCCGAAAAAAAGTAAAGAAACTAATAAACAGAAAGATGACAGAATAACAAAGATGAAAAAGTCGCTGTGTGGCGCAAAGGGGCGTCGTTTAGACATGTTGCGTCCCAATCATTAAAACATCCCGCTCGACATCTTCCTACCGTGTCCCTCAATTGGCGATCGAACGATATCTCGATCATACAAGACAGGAGGCGGCAAGCCCGCCACGGGAGATCGAAGATGGCCCATGCCGGTCGCATCGCCAAAAGCCTCGAGCGGTGACCTGATGATGCTAATAGCTCCATCTTTGCGGCTGCGGCTGCCCGAGCGGAGACGTTCGGTAGCTTTGCTCATGCGACCAGAGAGACTGCCTTCTCCAAGACTGCGGCCTCGGTTGTGTCCCTTTGGCTCGGGAGGAGCAAGCACAGGCACCATGCCATCGTTAGGGGCAACCACCATGGGCTCCTCCGTCTCGTCGTCATCCATGACAATCTCAATCATGCCCGAAGCCAGCGTCCCAGCGACGGGAGGCTGTCGTCGGACGTGTGGCAACGGAGGTGGTGGAGGAGGAGGTGGAACTGCCAGATGCTGCAACTCTTTGAGGAAAGTAAGGGGCGCCGAAGGAGGTGGCGGCGGCGGTGGAGGCACCAGATCGCTCCTCTGTCGGCGCCATTCCGTCTCAACGATATCATCGAGGCCCCTGCCCTCATTGGCACTTCCCTTTCTCATGAAGCGGGGTTGTTGCGATGGTTCATCAGGGATTGGCGCAGACATGCTTCGCGGAATCATAGGTCGAGTTGGTGGTTGGTAAACCGTCGAGGGCAGCTGGTAGACTGTCGATGGCAACAATGTCAGTGGCTGCTGCTGCTGCTGTTGTTGTTGTTGTTGTTGTTGTTGTTGTTGTTCCAGCTGTTGCTGTAGCTGCTGCTCTTCCTCTTCTTCCTTTTGCGCCGCCTTCTTCTTTTCCAACATGTACTGCGGAGAGTATTTGGGCGAACTCTGTGGGGAATACTTTTGGGAGAATGTTGTAGGGACTGGAGGTGGCGGCAGCTCTTCATCCTCCTCCTCATCTGTCTGGAGGATAAGTCTCATCGCCTTTGGTGTAGCAGGCAGACCAATCTGTGGCCCATTTCTAGCATACATGCTCCTCGGAGGCTCTGTTGCGGAGCGAGGAGGGAGATCGTCATCTAGCACCTCATCATCAGCTTCCACCAGAGGAGGAGGCTTCCTAGGTGATACTATGTCGCTGGGGTGGGGGATTTGAGGTCCCATCTGTCGCTTTGCAAGAGATTTTCGTCGTTCCTCGAGCTCCCGCGCGGCTTGTTCCTTCTTCCGCTGTCGTTCATCCTTCATCTTTCGCAAATCGCCGGCGTGCTCTGTAGAGGCAGCTCGGATTTGAGGCAAAAGCGGAGCTGGGTTGCGATCATCACTAATTGCCGCTTCCTTTCGGCGGCTTTCTGGGTTTTCGCGTCGACTCATGGCAGGAGAACTACCAATGTGGCCAACGCTCCGGCTGTGCTTGGCTCTGAATTCTTCCTGAGCCTGCATGGCCCTCCTAAAGTCTTCTTCGTCTTCCGACCCCTGGTAATGCAAGGCCGTTGCCGACATTGGTACTGGGGATGTTGGTGACCGCGGAGCCGATCTGCTTCGCCCATGGCTTCGTCCACGAGTATCCAAAGGTGGCAAGCTCGTCTTTCCGCTCTTTGACACGCTCGCCTTTCGAATCGTCAAGGGCTCAACCGTATTCTCGAAATTACGGGTGCTGAGGATAGCCAGGTCTTCCGGAGACATTGGAACAGGAGATGTAGGAGACCTTTTTGGTTTAGTCCAAGATCTGGCCGAGCCTCTACCACGTTCTTCAGATGGGTCGCGCGATTTGGCCCGTCGCTCTCGGCTGGTATGACGGCCGGTGGATGGGTCTCTTTTCCGGTCCTTGCTCCCATTTCTACTTCCAGCTCCTCTGGAGTAATACTGTGCCGCTTCCAGGCTGTGAACGTAATCGTCTTTGTGGCGACCGTTTGATCGGTGACTACGGCCGGCGCTTGAGTTGGAGGTGATGGAACCCGCCACAGAACCTCCAAGAGGCGCAGTACTGGGACCAGTGCCACGACGACGAGTCGGCCAGTGGTAGCGGTTAGATACAGCGTTTGACTGTTCAGGAGACATGGTATCATCCAACTGTGCCATGGGCTGCAGTTGCAGATGCAAATGCGCTGGAATCCGGTCCCGGGAGCCGTTTCGCTGTGCTGCGTGGACTTCCTGTAATCTGCTCATAATCGAGCGGTCGGGAGACGGAGGCCGCTCATTCGTATAATCGCCCGCATATCCCTGAACGACAGACGGGAACTTTTCCCTCATCATCATCGGACTGGCCGTAGCAGCACGCTGCATCGCAAGTCCCGTTGTCATGTTGTCTTGGGTCGCAGAGGACTTGCGAGAGTGGCTTGCTCGCTGCTCCTGAGGCTTGTCAACGGGCTGGATGACAGCTCCAATATTCTTCAGACTATTCCTATCAAAGGCAGATTCTCCGATCGAGGGTAAGCGGCCACGATTGAACATTTGGCCGCCAGCGCGAGCTGATGTTGGCGTATTGAACCGGCTATTATTCGACGGCCGAAGAAATGCAGTCGCAGGGTCATAAGCACCACTTGGAGAAATAGCCGACTCAGCAATCGGCGTTACTCCAGCCGCAATGGGTGTTTGGCCTCCATCAGCCTGCGAGTAGAACTTGGCCTTTTGGGTCTGATCACCGAATGACGTGACCAGCTTCAGCGCTGATGCTTTGGCGACGCTGCGCTGAGGACCCAACTGGATTCCTGGTGGTGATAATGGAGGGCTCAACACCTCAGGGATACTCGGCGTGACGTTTTGGAAGCTGAGTTGCGCAGCTGACGGCGAGGTCCAAGGCTCTGAAGATTCTTGGTCGGTACATGCAAAGCAGCGAATTGCCAACTGTTGCTGGCCATGCTTGATCGCCCATTCGCCCCATTTCTTGACAATGGCAACTTGGCGCTCCCAGACACTGGGGAAAGCCACACAAGTGAGGATAAGAGCCTCCATATACATCTTATGCGAGATATAAATCTCAATGGCATCATTAAAGTCTCCCATGCCAAGCATAATCGTCACCGCGACGTGGACATCGCCGTTCTCCAGAAGACGCTGGACATAGACGCGACCGAGCTTTTGCTGGGACGCGTGTCCGCCAATGGAACTCAGTGCCAACAGCATCCAGTCTGATGAGGTCATATTCTGGGAGCTGGCGGCTACAATGCCTGCGTCGAAATCACCTAACCACTTGGCAAGTAATATACGGTTTGCTGATCCGGCGGGATAACGACTCATTTCGTCGCGAATAAGGTCGTCCACTTCTTTATTCCATCCGAAGATGGTGTTGAGCATCTGTCGGCGCAAATCGTCATTGGTGAGATGAGGGTAGTTTGATGGTATGGGATGTTTGTACGGAAGGTCGCTCAACCGCGAACGAGTATACTTGAACAGATCCTGCACCTTGGTGTCATCAGCAGGGCTCCTCGGCACCTCGTGTCTCAAACGAGAGGGTCGAAGTTTAGATTTGGATGAGGCCAACGACGGAGCGCTTGTGGTAGGAAGCGAGTATCCCATCGAATAGTTGTCTAGCTCCTGCCCCTGCCCCTGCCGTCCCACGGTAGAACTTTTCAGGGACGATCCGGCAGAAATATATGTTCCCTCCGTCTTGGCCCGCGACCTTAGTGATCCCGCCGGCCTACCGGGCGTGCGTGAACCTGCCGAAGACTTTGACAAGGATGACATGCCGCTCCGGCTAGAGGCTGGGCTGTTTGTCTCATAAACTTCGTTACTAGGTACTTCGGGGGGGTTGTGCTTTACTAGGCGCTGGAAAGGAGATAGATGATCATCGTCGCTTTCGGAGACGCCCATCTCCAGGGGAATGGAGCTTGACTCGGACTCTGACGTATGAATCGTCGTAGCGGAGTGTACGGATCTGCCTCCTGTTTCTTCGGAAGTGGGGGGAGATGGCGGGAGGACGCCCGCGGGATGCTGTACATTGGCTACCATGATGGCTGGAGAGTTGAGATCGAATTGCTGTACTGTGTTATTTGGCCCGAGGGTAAAGAGGCTCGCTCCGGGGCCATAGAGAGCTACGCCTTTTACATGCTCCAGGGTTGGGATAGAGTCCTTAGTAACATGTCTTGTTCTTACGTCCCACGAAAAAGTCTCTCTGATTATCTAGTCAGCACAAGAACCGCCACCAAAGCAAGAGGCCGCGCGCGTAGGCTGTGGCAGGCTGGGTGAAGGGGGGGCACATACGAATCTGAGAATTGGATAACGCGACCGTTCTTGGACCATCCCATCCAATTAGGGCCGGCTTGGTAGTTTTCATTTCTCCGAAGCGCCCTGACGACCTTGGGTTCCTCTGCGTTGTACGACTTGGACACACTCCAGACCCGCAGGTCGCCGTCGTGCATCTGGACAGCCAGCATGTCCGACTTTTGCTTTGAGGATGATGCGTGCCAGGCAAGCGTGACAATGGGCGATGGCCCTCTCGAGGTGGTCAAGTTGTGTAAGATGGTGAAGCGAGGCTGTAATGTCGCGATTAAAAGCGACCCGTTTTGATAGCTAGATGTCGACTCGTTAAATAATGCACACCAGAGGCTGGCATTTGATTACATACCCAATGGCAAAGGTTCGGCAGTCAGACGACGGAGCCAGTGCCGTTACTGCAATCTGATCGATCGTCCTAGCTGAGATGTGCTCGGACGTGGTAGGCTCAAAGAGGATGATATTTCCTTGGGTGTTGCCTATACTGTATTAGTTGGTGACCACCAGATGTGCGGTATTCGTGAGCCGTCTCTTACCAAATGCTACGTTTCCATTCCGCATCCAAGCGGCAACCGTGAGCGTCTCGTACGAAACGAAGCGAGAAATCTCATCACCCGTCATCAAATCCCACACAATAGCCGTCTGCCCAGCGTCATAGCTCACGACAAAGCGGCCAGCGCCGATTTCACTCTGGTTATCCACTGCAATCAGTTGGATATCGTCCACATGGCGTGAGAATCTTCGGTCGATGGTGAGAGTATCGTGGTGGCAGCACACTATTGACGGTCCCTGAGCGTAGAGGAAGACGGATGCCGTGGCAGCTGAGGGGGTGAAGTATTTGAGGTCCTTTGCTGTTGGCATTTTTGAGGGCTCGGGTTGTGATGGACGGCCTCGCGCGGTCGATGATTTACCGGACCGGTTGGAAACGGTATGGTTATGTGATGCGGACGACATGGCTGCGATGGTGCTGTCAAATCTTCCACGATGGCCAGCAGTATCGGGCCCAAAATTATATTGACCGATCTAGTCGGCCTGGCACCTCTGCGTCTGCAGGGACAGTCTTGCCCCAAAGATGCAAAGCACACTAAGCTCGTGAGACAGTACCAGATCCGGTGTCACAATCCTGTTGCCAGTTCAAAAGTCCGACTCTCTAGGAGCGCTCTCTGGGCGGCAAGCTGCGCGTGTTTTAGGTATCAACCATCACATGGAACCCAACTACTGCCCACTCCCGGACACACAAGCTTCAGCAACGATGCAATCGACCAGATATGTGTTGTCTTTCGGGCCGTCGACAGATAGGAAGCAAGTTTTCAAGAGTGTATTGGACTCGGTAAGAATGAGCGTCGAATTGGTCGATTGTTGGTGAGGAATGAAGCTATCAAGTTTGTCGTCGAAGAGGCTTTGAAGATGCAAGGCTTAAAGCCACAGAAGGCTGCGACAAGGCAAAACGGAAAAGAAAAGGTCAGGCAGCCTTAACGGAAGCGGGCGGCGTCACAGCTTTGCATATAAGAGAGCACTTGTAGGCAAAAGGAACGAAGGTTTCTGTGATATGCCGGAGAATGTTAGGGGAGGGGCTGATCTGATTAGCTCGGCGCTTGTTCGAGCCGCCTAGGGATGCTCCTGTTCGAGGATTAGGAGTTGCGGATGATGCAGGCGGATGCAGGAGAGGTTTGGCAGGATGCAGAACGGTGGTCACCCGGATGGGAAGCCTGGAAGCGAGGAGAGCTTCTCTTGTCCGCTCAGGCTTACTTGATTTCTCTTTTGCTACTGTTCCTAAGCCTAAAAAGACGGCCAGAATCAGGAAGTAAAAGAGAAGAGGAGGAGGAGGAGAAGCAGTAAAAAAAAAATAAAGATAAAAAAAAGAGAGAAATACGGAGCTGGTAGAGAGGAGAGGTGTGGCCCTGGTCCAGATTCTAGCCCAGGATTAGGCGCAAGACACACACCACTCACACGCGGTGAGGCAGGTAGCTGCTTAGCAGTATCTGGACAGGTTGGCGAGGATGAGAAACTGGAGGTACGAACGGTTCTCGCAGCAGTAGCACCACGGCCCAAGTAACAAGACCTGGCCGGGGTCTGGTGTGATGGGTCCGATGGAGAGCCAGACGAGCATGGCGCCTATGCGGCCGTGGACGAGGCCTGTCAGTGGACGGGGTTGGCTGCCATATAAAATTAGAGTGCAAAAGCTGCTACCGGCGGCCGTCTTGGGAATGGAGCGGAGACGGTCCGGCAGCCAGAGACAGGCCACGGCGACCAATGCGCGTCGAGGCTGCAAAACGCTTGTGCCTACAGATGCTCATGCATGGCGCCCATGTTTCGACTATCTGCAGCATCACGGCTCGCAAACGTCCAGAACCTTTAGCTGCAACTGCAACTGCAACTGTACCTCCCTCGCTACCGAGCACCGGTACCGAGTCGAGATGCCAAACCCGCTGCAACGCTGCCATTGTCGTCATTCTGGTCTGGGGGCCAGGCACTCTTTTTCCTTGACCTCTCTTCATCCTCTTTTTGGCCCCGGCGAGCCGCCCAGATAGTCGCCTCCTACGCGCGTACGTCCGCAGTGGGCCCAGCTAAGCATTGACGAGGCGAAAATAGTCTGGCGAGGCAAATGGCGATTGTGAGCCAACTAGGAATCATGGGCTCAGATCCTCAGACGGACAAATTGACGACAGGTGATGTACAGGCGCTAGCGGGCTGCGTACCGCCGCTGGAGTAAAGGTGCCCTTGTTGAGGCCCCCTTGCCTAGCCTCGCACCCCGGACAAGACATTCGATATCAACCTATCAGGGCCTCTGAGAGCAGCGACGACTTGGGCGAATAGCTGGCGTCTGATTGCAGTTGCATTCTTTTTCGTGCAGTATTGCTTGCTAGTCTTGCTGGTAATGGTGTTAATGGTGGTACTGCTGCTTATACATGCGAGTATGTATATGCACTCCGTATCCCAAGCTCCCGCGCGGATGCAGGAAAGAACGGCGTTTGTGACGAGTGCCTGTATCTGCAGGATCTTAGACTCGGTGTATATGCATTCCTATCCTGCCATACAGGTACACACGAGTGCTGCTGTACGTGTACCTACCACGAGAAGCGAGCTCCCTCGGCTCCTCTCCTTACCCCGACTTGCGGCGCCTTTCACCGTTGCACCGGTGGTTCCACCGCTGGCGATCTGGCCTCTGTGCGAGCATTTCTGAGTGATTGAGCGGTGCCTTGCAGGGGGGAGGAAACGGCCTGTGAGTGAGACCTGCAGCGACTACCGGCGCCGTACAGTATCGTGGCTTGTCTTGTGCCGGCGATTGTCCTCCACAATGGGCGCTGGAGAATGCATCGACGCGAGCGGTCCCTCTCGTTTCATTCGCGCGTCTGCGCTGCTCTGCATTGCCTCATCTCGCCTCGCCGCAGGCCGCTCGCAACTGATCGTCCGTCTCGCCGTGGCCAGCCATCCATATCGCGGTGGTTGTTCGAGGTCCCGAGATGGTCAAGCGCAGATGCATGGCTGGAGCAGCGATTTTGGGGCTGCGGTCGAAAGCGGGGCGGCGAGGGCCTGTGGCTCAATGGCAGCAGCCGTCGAAGCGCCGAGGTGTGTCGCGGCCGCTGATTGGACGCGCCAAATGCAGGTGCGCGCCACAGCCTGGCCAATCGGCGGCTCGATCACGCCTGGCCGCAGGGATCCAATCGCTGAATCCCGGCCCGCTAAGCTGCGCCGCAGGGATCAGGGGTTCACCACCAAAACTCCATCATCCAGTACTACAAGCTTGTACTTGTATCTACATATGAATGCGTGCAATTCAGTCAACAGCAGTTTCGATGCGCATAACTGCGGCATCCAGCAATCAAACGCCTGCCGCCATATCGCGATATCATCGAATCACAAACCACCAGCACTCGCACATCCTTGTCCCGCCTTCCTCTATCGCAGCTGCAGCTGTTTGCCAACTTGTATCAGATGATTCCCTGAGACAGATGGATTTCAGCTTGCATCCAGTTTCTCTTATTTATCACGTTTCCCCGAGTTCTGTTTCTTGCTAGCCTCTGTTTGAATCAACGCGCTAACACATTTCTCCAGCAAGCTTGCCCGCGGTCTCCGCAGTCACATCTCTCCGGCTGCTCTTGTAGCATCTGCCTCTCATCTCATTTGCTTCACAGAGCAAACCCCTGGTGATCCTGCCGCGGCAGGGAATCTTTCTTTACAAGACTATCCTAGCAAAGCAACATGCCCGGTTCAGTCTGGCAATGGAGACTCTTCTGCTCGTATCTTACTCCTCCGCGGTAGCAAAATGCCGAAAACACACGTGCGACATGCTTTGCAATGTCTTAGACTCTTTATCAACATAAGCAAGCTCCATATGGGCTGCCATCCTGCCATCCGCTATACATAGGATCGCGGTCTCATCACATGCGAGCTACTCGTTCCAAGTCAACTACCACCGTTACCAGTAGACTAAACTATTGTTATAGTAATCTACTTCCATATCACGCAAAGGCACGACGGGAAGGATTCTAGACAAGCAGATATCACACTGCTAGGCAGCAAAATCGATCCCAGCCTAAGTGGGTGATGGCCACTTGAGACATACAAGTAGGCGCCACCGGCCATGCTGGTCTCGGGCGACCAACGACAAGTTTACTAAATTGGGAATCCATTGAGGCCCAACGACAGCATATCCGCTGATTTATACGGAATACTATCTCGCTTTCTTGCCGCACCCTGTCGGACTGTGACCTTGTGACGCAGCTTCTGGCCTTCCCTCTTTGCGTTTTCGTCACACTCAACATCCAAAACCATCATGGCCGGAGCGCCACCCCGTGGAAGTTGTTAATTAAACTGCTGCCAAGCAAAGCACGACCACGTTTTCTACTCCGAGACAAGGCAGGGAGCCCAAAACATGAGGACCACATGTTCGAATACGCGGCATAATGGAGTGCCATTAATTGATGACAACTCTCCTCTCAGCTGTGTCGACTTACATCTATGAGCCAGTCCTCAAATAAGATACTTCCTTTTACTGTCGGATAGCGGGATCTCTTCCGAGATGCTATTGAACGTTGATGCAGGGCCTACGGGGTAGCTGTTATCGTCTGTGTCACATCAGAGCGGAGAGTCTTGAAATACGGTGAAGCAGGCGACATCAGAAGCCAAGACAACCATGACGTGGGGAGTCCGAGCCACCCTTGCCAGACAACATGCCTTGTGTAGCAACTTGGTGCGGCTATTGGCATATCCGGTCTCGCTTCGGTCATCGAGAAGCACAAACGACTAGTAGCCAGGACGTCTGCGAGTATCACTCAGCTTCCGACTACGCTTCCGATTACGTAGCCCAGCTTCAGGCTCAGATCTAATTTTCGCTATGATATCGTGCTATGCTTCGTAAGACTATCTAACTTGTGCGCATTTACTTCATTTAGATTATGCACGGGGCACTTTCGATGACATCCATCTTATATTCCCAGCGGTTCTTTCGGCTGTTATGTCCAGCCAGCTTTTTCAGCTGACGTTCAGGCCAAGAGGCCCAAGCTTGGAATGATCTTTGAACGAAGTCTTCCGTAGATTCAAATGTAGAAATCTGTTCAATGAATCTCTCTACCAATTCCTAAGCCATCCTAAGAGCCTGTTGGTGTGAGGTCTAGCTACTTTCTGCTGCTTAGCCGAAGAAAAATGCCAATTTGACACTTTTGAGAGTCTTTCTTCCAAACCTAAAAGTGACCTCTACTAGAGGATACATATGATCCTAAGGTCGATAATCTTGAACCATCATTTACGATGGAAAAATAAGCAAGTCCCAGAACATGTTACCTTTGCTGCAGCAAAAGAAAAGAGCTTTTTTTCCATCCACTGGCTTCTCCCTATCCCGATCACGCTTCCGAAGTCAGAAAAAGACAAAAAGCAAGATCTTCATGCATTAGATGATTGCTAAACACTGCACACATAATAGATCTCTCTTTTTAATACAATTTATGGAAGTCTGCGAAATTGAGACTTCAATTATCACTTGCAAACTCTTTCTCATTGCTAACTCCCGATGGTCCGTATCACGTATTGATAGATAAAATCCTCTAAAAACAATCTGGGGGTTTTCTTTTATCCAGTTTTCTAAATCTTCTAGTTCTTCCTCCTATATCTTGCGGCTGGTATGCCTTCCCATATTCGCATTGTAACAACCCAAGTCCTTGTACTTGTTTGCCCGGGTCAATTAATGAGAACACTCAGCCAAATCAGTTCCTAAGGAGAAGCAAGAAAATATGAGCAGAGTTAGAAGATGCTAAGAAAATATGAGGAGAGAAGCTTAACTACAGCAAGGAAGGATAGGTAGTTTACTTGTTTCGTGACAAGTACCTAAGGATTAGCTAAGGTGCAACATGTTATGCCATTGCTACCTCCAAAGCTACTCACGGGCATTCTTAAAACAAATTCTGTTACAAATAAGCCATTCAAGACAGAAACTGAAGTATATATTAGGCGCTTTCTTAGTCGCCGCAACTGTTGACTGTGGCGAGTTGATGACAATCTTATTTAAAAGCAACAGTTCCTCCGGTTGTAACATTAACCTTCACCTCCTTGTATGAAAGACGTAAACCATAGTTTCATAAAGGGAAGTACAATTTGAAGTGACAAGAGGCAGAGTAATTGGCTGATATAGCCTCACGCCGTGGTACTAGAAGCATTAGTCGTATGAAAGGTATCTACTTTTTATGGAGGGCGTTGATTCGCATGGAAGAGCTTGACCCTTTTTGCCAAAGAAGGAGAACTCAAAACAACTCATACTATTTAAGATTACTCTTATATTCTCATATCAACAAAACAGTTAGCAATCCAGCTAATTCTCCTCGCTCTATCCGTGGCAATTCCATCGTGACATTCTTCGCTGCTTGGGGGATTTTATATGCCGATGAGCATGGTCCGTCGTGTGAAATCCTCGTCACAGTACGGAGAGATCATCGTATGAGTGAGAGCAGTTTGATGTCCTTTTCAAAAACAAGGACGTGCCAGCTATAATATATGCGAAGTACAAGCGAGAGTTTTCCATCCTCATAAGGATCCTGCAGGCGTCCCCAAACAGAACTTCACCGTAATAAACGTTGCGTTCAAAGACGCTTATACAATATGCCACCTTTCAAAAGCTATGAATCACACTTCAGAAATTACAGGTGTTAAAAGCGAAAATAGAAGATTGCAACATGTCAAATCAAGATAAAAGCACCCCTTCCATCAGTGATGGAGCAAGTTTGTAGTCTCTTAGCCAAACGAGATGACAAACAGACGCTCCGTTCCAACAATTTCGCCTCCAATCTCGATTAAAGAGTAAAATAGTGTCATCACACCAACTTACCAGCAATTCAGGCACCTCAAAACCCTATGAGGCAGATACAACGGCGCTTGGAAGAAGGCGCAGTGATATCAGATATCATATCGCGCACCTCCCTCCCCATCCCGCACACACCTCATCTCGAATGCCCAACATCAAAAGCACATGCATCGGTTTCTGGGGGCGTAGATCACATTCAGCCCGTATCGACCATGTATCATAGGCCACAGCCCAGTCTCAGCTTCTCCCAAAGGGCCGCCCCCAGCGTCGCAATCACCGGCCAATCTGTGACAAAGGAAGCGCCACGGACATGAAGCTCAGATCACGACACCTGGGGATGTGACCGGGCCCTAGGTCTTTGGGCTTTTTGGGCACCTTTTTCCCTCTCGCAGCAGCAAAAGTTGCCGCCGCTTAAACGCAATCACAGCCATTCACGCGCGGCATCACATGGGGCGTATAATTACGCTCAAAACAGTCACAGCGTACCTACCTATCGGACGATACGAAGAGAAAGAGAGCACTAGCTACCTAGCTAAAAGGCCAAGACCATTTTACTTCGCATAACGCGGTCGATTTGCAAAGCCCCCATTGTTGAGTCAGAGATGCTAAATATAATGCCTCAATGAGCTCTTTGTATTAGAGATCAAAGCTTCAATACTAGCTCCAAAGGCACCTGATTCGTTCAAAACCTCGTCGCATCTCCCCTCCACGTGAATGGCCGATTTACAGCCAATAAGATGCATTTGCCACCGTAACATCCGGCGACTATCTACAGCGAATAAGGTGGCAGTAATGCAGCCCTACAAGCCCATTGGCCACATGGAAGCCGAACCCCCAGCAAAGCTGCTTTGACAGCCCCCAATCCACTTAACAGGGCAGAAGATCAGCGGGGAAGCGATTGAACCCTTAACGGGCAGACATCTTTCACTGTCCGTTTGGGAATCTTCACGTGCCATCACTGAGTGGACAGATGCAAATCCCGAGGGAACGAACCAGCAGCCAGCGATGGCGAAGTACAATATACGCCCCATAGATGGAGTACAACGTTGCTGTCACATCTTTCAGGATAAAGAGAAAAATGTCGGGGTCCAACCCCACAGTGAGGGAACCAGTTACCAAGCTGGGCAGGCGTCCAAAGAAAGAAACTCGCAAAGAGAATAAGACGGATACCAACCAATGTTCGCAGTCAGACAAACAGAACCAAGAACAAAAAGTCTGATGCCCAAACGGTAGCATCAACGACGCACACCCCAGTAACACATCACATTCAGGTACACACTCTAATACTCGGCGCGCAACAAGAAAGTGAAAAGAGAAGCTGCATGCATGCAGTTCAGCCCCCCCTTCACAGCTCACAGCACACACTCAGCACACTCACACACTCAGCACACTCACACACCGCAGGAGGATTATTATGCATGCCCCGAACACCTCGTCACAGCTAGTGCCGACCAAGCCCGATGGCCACTTTGTTCCTGTCTAGCAACCACTCCAAAGCAGGCGGAGTAATACAAACCTACCTATGTACAAACTCGCAAGTAAGCTGGGCTGGCTGAGCAAGTTGCGCAAGACCAACCAAGTAAGCCCGCTGAAAAGGGCTGACGGCCAATATTATTCCGTCTTGCTTTTTTTGGGGGCAGAAAACAATCACAAGAACCGCAGCAGAACTGAGCCAAGAATAGCACGTGTCTAGTGTTCCTTTGGTAATCAGCTCTCTTCTCTTTCAGCCAGACCGCAACTCCAGTCTGCTTTCACACCGACCATCTCAGCTGCTCAGGTCGGGTGGTAACAGCATATAGTATGTATGCCAGCACAGCTGGATACCCACTCGGTGTGCAAGGATATTCATGCACGAGGAAGAAGAAAAAAAAGGTACAGCAAATGAAAAATACCACGTCAAAGTGTGTGCGACGCACGCAATTTAGCGAGATACGGTGCAGCGAGTGAGTGACCAAGTAAATAAAGTGTGCCTCGTACCAATAGCAGTGCTTCACGCGCAAAAAGCCTTGGCTGCATCGATCGTGCCTACATCGTACATGAGACAAACATATGGGAGGGAGGGGTTGGGACCACTTACAGCAAACGTTGGTTATCACGGGCAGCGCATTCCGGCGAGCCGCCTGCTGTAAGGCAAAGTTGTTTTTGTGTTAATATCGCCCTGCATGAGGGAGGGGACTTAATTTATTTACTTTCTGAGAGCTCTACTACTCTCTCCCTGCGTGTGAAAGCTCACAAAGTGTACAACACACCAATTAGCTAAAAAAGCAAAGGGATCGAAAGGGGAAAAAAAGTGACTGGTGATAAAATCAAAACAAGGCAGGCAAAAAAGGTTTTCAGACGCCCTGCATTAATTGGCACTTGTAAAGTCAGGCAGCTACAGATTACAATTGATAGCTTGAGCTGTAAAAACCAGCCCTTCTCAGCCCGCTAATGAAAAGTATACTTATTAACCGATCCAACCAAGATTGACAGTCAGCCACAAGAGCGAATCCTTTCGCAATCAATTACTCATATAACTCGTCGCATTGAAACCAAAAAGAAAATACCTGTATTAAAAATGTAAGAATGATTAAAGTAAAAAACAAAAAAAAAAAAAAAAAAAAAAAAAAAACGTAATCCCAGCGGCCGACCCATAAACACTGCAGCGCACGAAGTAACATTCTTTACTTTTTCGCCATTGCTCGTGTTTCGCACTATTATTCATTGTAAAAAGAAAAGAAGCCCAAGAATCAAACAGACACTCCCCCTCCATGAGAAGCAATATCGGAAAGCGGAAAGCAATCCCGAAAAGGGAAAAAGTAATACCAAAACAACACACAAGATGCCGACCGCCAGAGCGCGTTAGCTCCAGCTAAACTTCATGTGAATATTCGGCCCTCTCATCCGGGGGGGCATCCCTTGACAAACAAGCGAAAACCAGAGGGGAGGGAGAAGACGCCACAAGTGTCGCACCGCATAGGGTCGGTGAGCGCAACCCTGCAGTGTGGCGCTTTCTCATCAATGCTGAAAGAAAGTCGGTGACAGCTTTTGTTGCTTTGCTTCTTTTCAGCTCCAAGGCTTCATCGGGACTTTGGGGCGGGAAAATCCCGGGTGGCTGCAAGCTTCGTTTGTCGCTGTTTGCTTCCCTTTGGTTGGGGGAAGAGAGAAAGCGCTGGGGCTAAATTACCAAATGTGGAAAATAGAGTAGGCATCAATGTCGGCATTTTCCTTTTCGCTCATTCAGCCCATTCAGCCATTTCATCCATTCACGCATGTGGCGCTGGGCACTGTGGTTGAACTCAAAAAACAAAGGGCTGCAAACCGCGTGGCGCCCACCTGGAAGAGCGGGTAAAGCACATGGCAGTTGCACAGTTTCAATAAGAGGAGAAGCGGAGAGATGGAAGCAAATTGCTTGTTTTGAAAGAACTAGTAATAGTATTCATCAAAAATGGGGGTATCTTGTCAAAAGAAAAGCTATCTAAACTATGCTAAAAGTAATCGCCATGTTATGCCCTTTGTTCCCAGTCCGTCGCAACGGAGGAGTAATGCTACCTAATGATATTCCCAACGCCAAGCAAGAAAAAACACTGTTGTGTGTGTAATATTGGTCCCAAGTAGCTGTGATCGCTCTTCCTCAGAAGAGGGTATCCTTAATAAAATGAAATCCCACGCTATGATCGCTGATAAAAGAAAAAACAAAAACTCCCAAATAATGCCGTCATGAGTATTAAATCGGAGTAAGAAGAAGAAGAAGAAGAAGAAGCACAAAAGAAAGGATAAAGTGTGTTCCGGGGGTATCAAGTGAAGGTTTGCTGAAATGCGCTGTTGGCGCCGGAATAGAAGGGAAGAGAAAAGAAAAGCCGGATTGGGCCGATATCTTTTGTTTAACCGATTTGGCCGCGGTAATTGGCAGAGTTCGGTTGAACTGTGATAGAGAAGAGGAAAAAAGCAGGTAAAAATGCCCCGGTTGTGGGGGAGGGGTGAGGATGAGTCAGATTGTTTTCGGACCGCTAATCACTCCCGCCGGCGCCCCGATTTCTTCCTTCAAGCGCTGTAAATCCTTTGATAGCGCCAGAAATAATGTTGCAGTGGCTGTGCTGAAAACCAGTCATAGAAAAAAGTGTCGTATCGTCGTGAGACAGTGCAGATGCTGTCAGTCTATTAAGAGGCTTTTTGAGTAATAAAGCCTTGAGTAATTAGAAGAGAGAAGAGCCCATACGCCAGCGCATGACCCGAGTAGTAGCGTAGATTTACTCAGAGATGGGAGTCATGGAGATAAGCTTGGACTTGGGGCTCTTCTTGGAGCTAACGTGAGCTCGGCTCTTCTTCTTGGCGGCCAGCTTGCGGCGCTCCTTCTCGAGCATGACCTGGCGGACAGCCTCGCGCTGAACAGCAGCCAGCTTCTCGCGCTGGGCCTCCAGGACCTCGAAGTCGGTAAGGTGAGGAGGAGACTGCATCATCATGGGGGAAGACGAGGCGCTGGAGCTGGCGACGCTGTGGCTGTCGTCGTCGAAGGGGTCAGACAGGAGGAGGTCGTCGTCGGAGAGGAATGAGGTGGCTCGCTCCTCGCGGCCAAACTCGGACAGAGACTCGCGTCGAGGCCACGAGGGGAAAGCGCATGAGGCATCGCGGGTGCTGCGCAGGTTGGAGGGGCTGATGTCGATGGCGGCGGACATTGCGCTCGCCGAGCTGTATGAGCTGTATGAACCGAACATTGTGGAATGTGGTTGATGTGTGGAGAGTTGTGGAAGTGGTTTGCAGATCAGGATGGCCAGAATCTGGGGTTGAGATGGTTTATAAGTGTCTGGTGTGTTGATAAACGCCGGCTCGGTAGACAATAGGAGTTGGCTCGGCTTCTAGCTATTGATGGCGGCGGAAGCGTGGGGTGTGTTGGTGGTGCGTGGGTGGCTGCAAGCAAGATGGCCCAAGAGGATGATGGCTATGGGATGATGATGATGATGGAAGAGAGGATAGGATTGTAGATGATATATGTTTGCTGACCACGGATGGCACGGTGAGATGGATCGTCGAGACGAATGTTTGTATGGCCGAGGAAGCTGGAGAGAGGGAAGCCCGTGGCACTTATATCGCCCATCACGGGCGGGCACGAGTGAATCATCTGGGAGCTGGGCTGGGGGCGTGCGCGAAGGGGGCCGATGGGCGAGATGGGGGAAATGGGGCGCCGTTTGGAAGCACAGGAGCAAGGGAGGGGTGTGGCAGCAAGGGATTTGGCATTGCGGTGCCGGGCTGGGGGTTTTATCAAAGCACAAGGGCAAAAGGGAAATCAAAGAGGTTGCAGCCATTCCGCGCACGCCCATGCCCCGGGCAGCCTCTGGCGCACGCCCCCTCCCTGGCCCTTGTTGCTGGTCCTGGAGCTCCGACCCGGCTATGCTGCGTCGGCTTTGAAGTTGAGATGAGAGACAAGAGACCCGACGCCACGACACCGACACCGACACGACACGTTTGAGGCGCCAGCCAGCCAGCCAGCCAGCCAGTGCAGCCCAGCCCAGCCCTATATGCGTGCGCGCATCCAAAACGGAGACGAGCCGGACACGCACCGTCACACACAAATGGCGGTGTTCGGGGATTCTGACCGCCACTGCCTGTGCTCTGCGTGTGCGCTGGCGCTGATTGGGCTGGGCAAAGCAGGTTATCGGGCGGCGTACGGGGGAACGAGGGAAGATACGGAGGGATCGATTTCGTATCAAGTGGCACACGAGCTCTAGTAGCTCTATACGGAACAGCATCTACCCGCCAACTGAGAGACACGACCCAAGACGAGACAAAGCAACAAAAGCAGGATTCACTCAACCAGCCAGCCAGCCCGGGAAACCGCGGCGAGAAACGCATGTCTCGTTGGAATATACAAGCTGTATAGACGGGCAAACCAACCAAACGGCTCCGCCGGGCGTGCCCTAAAAGCAAGCTCCAGCTTGGTAAGGTCATGTTGCATCTGGGGGAGGATTATACGCTTTGTCTTGACCGTCGCTCCATTTGAAGTTTACGCCCCAGCTTTGCTTTTGCGTTTTCTCTTCTCTCGTTGCCTGTTGCTACAGTACGTACCTACCTAGTCATCAAAAAAAGAAAATACAAAAGCAAATTCTCCTCGCCCTGGTCGCGCATGGTTGGGCACCGCGGCACACCGCCCCAGCTTTCCGGTCAGCCAGCCCAAGCAGGGAGACCTGGCACCAGCAACCCCCCAGGCCCTGCGACACAGCATAGACAAGCCAGGCCAGTTTTCCCGGCGGATGGCCTTCCCCGGCATTCCGTCTTGCTGGATCTGCCACCGCCGTCTCAGCGCACGTCCCGCCCTCGGTCTGGGGAATCTGGCAAAAAGCCATCTCGTTGTTTTGCTTTTTCGCCTATTTGCTAGTATAGGACCTAATGTGCCCCCTTCAAAAGGGATATGCGCAATCTGATATATCGCAAAATCTAGCTACGAGTCTAACACCGCGTAGTAGAGCCGCTGCTATCGGCGGAAGTCAAAGGCCTATCCGCCGACTTGTAGTTAAAACTCTCTCCGCACTCTAGGACCCGTACGCTATCCAATCTCTTTTGACGAGCAGACAAAACAAGAAGGAAAGAAAGCTTAGTGCTAGAGTTTCTGCTGCTTAGCTTGTAGTGCTTATCAAAGCAAAGTATGGCCGAAAAAAGCAACCGTTGTAACAAGGACCCCCAAAAGACCAGTGTGCACAAGACACATGCCCGAAACGGACAGATCTTAGTGGCCAGAAAGAAGCTCGGCCGCGCTCTCCCCGAGGAAAAAGATTACCGTGGAAGAAGAAGTGAGATAAGAAAATTGCTAGAGGAAACGGGCCGCAACGGAGAATAGCCGTCGCTGGTGCCACCCCAAAAAAAGCACACAAACGACCAGCAACCTGGGAAGAGAATAAGATCAATCCATACTACCTACTGCTAATTACGGAGTAATACCACGCTCTCCGTCTCGACGGCCTGCCTACCTGGCGATTAGTTTGAATGGCATCATCAGCACCAAAGAGCATGGGACCCAAGTTTGACGGCTCTCCAGCATTCTATTCGGGGTATTATCTGAGGGGGAGCCCCAGGTGCGCGGTAACGGATTGCACAGCACCCGTTTCCCAGGATCACACACCGGTTGGATCACGGAAGCGTATCTGGGTACCGCAGTACCGTAGGTAATACCGTAATGAGACCAGAGCAGCAGAAACAACAAAACGGCTGACGGAGTGACTTTTGCGAGCGAGGGGGGGGCATGACAAGCTCGTGCTCTCAGAGTCTGCCTACTGGACTGTCTGCTGTTGCTGTGCTGGCGCTGGGGGTGAGCGATAGCCGGTCCCGACACTCCCCTAGCCCTCCAAGCCCAACCGTCCAGCTTCTGTAGAGCAGCCAGACGGCCACCACCATCTGGTCGGCGCGCGTATACAAGTACACGAAGCGGTCGAGTGATACACGAGTCACAGCGGCGCGTAGCCCGTCCACGTAGGTACCTGCCTGGCAGGCAGCATGTCCCAGTATGTATGACGGCGGGATACGGAGCGTGGAATCCTACGCCCAGCCAACCACGGCCCCAAGATTCCAGCTCTGCTACTCTGATTCTCTTGTCGTGGCCTACGGTACGGCTGCCCTCCCACCGGCTGCGTGCGCGCCCTGCCATTGGCCGCAGCCCGCCAGGCGGTCAAGCAGCGGCGTCCTGTGTCGCAGCCCGATAAGTGTCCTTCTGATCGCAGCAGATACATGATAAGGCACCCTCGCGATACCGTGACACGCTGTACTTTTGGCGCCAGCCTGTACATGGCCTGGTACATGCTGCTAGCCTGCGGCTATGCGGTGTCCACGGCAGTCCTGCTAGTACCGACCAGGCCCTTTGCAAGTACCCAGCATCCATTTTCTAGGCGCCTGTGACAGCCAGCTGGCCGTTTTTCTCGTTCCCCTCCCCTCCCTCGCGAAAGCACGGTGAGCTGGCGGCTTTGCTTCCCCTCATCGGCGCTCTTCAATTGCTTGGGGGGGGTGAGTCAGGTCTTTGCGCACCGCCATTTCGGCTCCTCTTCTCCAATCGATTCGCTGGACCAATAAACGGAGCACAGAAAAAGTGAAACAAGCTACAAGCTACGATAATGATCTGGAGAGAACAGAACAGCGAACCGGCGGGCTTGTGCTATTCCTGGGGGAAGAGGGAGCAGCCGCAGCGTATCGCGAAAATGGTCCCCCCGCCGGGGGAGGCTGGCTGTGCGATGACAGCACCGGCAACATCTGACACCCCCCCAGACTCAAGTGTAGAGAGCCTGACATCGGAGGTTGCAATCGACAATCCTCACGGTACACACTGCTTTCTATTCTGAGACTGAGGATTTTGCCGCTTACTGTTCGGAAATGGATAGGGAATGCGATGGATTTGCACAGTCAGATTCATCAATCTGGCATCCCAGCATTCCGGGAGCCCTGTACTACGTAGCATCCCCGCGGTTTCTGCGTATTGATATCAATGATTACTAAGTTGTGGCTGCCTGTGTTTGCCCTATGAGTATTTGTAAGGGCGAGTTGTTGAGTAAGAAGAGTGTGTGCTGTAAAACGCTCCCACTTATACAAACCCACCTATTACGGAATCTACCAGCATTAGAAGCATCAACAACCCCCACGATATAGGCAGCGATGCCATCCGGAAACTAAGCAGCGCAATGCACGTACTCATGCACTCTCGACCCGTAACTGCCGCAGGCTACATCTCTGGTCTCCCCCCCCCAGCAGTCTCGATTCTTCCATTTGGAAAAAGATGACATATTCCACAGCTTCTTCCTGTGACGTCAGTGAGTACGGAGAGTCATGCCACTGTGGTTGACGTGATGCGATGCATGCCGTGCTGGTGGCATTGTAGTCTCTAGGGTACCAGATCTCTCGCCCCGACCGCCGGAATTGCAAATACTACCGTGCTACCAGAGAAATTATCAAGCAGCGGTAATCAAGCATTCCAAATGCTTCCCGATGTGTAAACAGACCTATTTCGTCGCCAGGGAGCGGGAGATCCCTTGCCGGGGGGGAGGAAAAGGGCTGCTCCTTGCTTCAAGGGTCGCCTCCTTCAGTGAGAATTGCAACAGTAAGCCATAGATGAGTAGGGCCTGCGAGCCCACATTGTGTCCACCACGATCAGATGCAAAAAGAAGATTTCAATTAAACTACAAAGTAAAAAATTTTCACACAAATTTTACAGAAAATCCACTTACCGGTGATAAAAAAAAAAAAAACCGAGTCCAGCCCTCTCGTCTTTTTTTAAACCCCCAGTCTGCCATGTTGGCCATGCATAGTGGGCTCCCGGCATCTCGCTTGTCGCCCAGCTATCTCCATATATCGGGCCCCTTCACCTTAGAGTCCGTTGGGAAAGGGGGGGTGTATGCTGCAGGAATACATGGATTCTGACTTGTGGCATCCAATCCATCCACTGTTATCAGACGGAGTCACTGCATCTTGCAGCGTGCAGCATGCATGCAACATGCAACATGCGACATGCATCACCGCGATACGGCACGCAGCCATCTATCCTCTGACCGCTCCTACAACATGCACCTCTGACTTACGCGCGACAACAAACACGCAGCCAAGAGATAGACTCATTTGATATCTCCGAGCGTATAACAAGGCCCTGCGATTATGTATGTGCAGAGTAGAGTGCTCACACCGCAGGAAAATAGAAAATGCCCACACTAGCAAATCGAAGAGCTCGAAATTTTCTCTTCCCTGA